CGAGTAAAAAAGGGAGGCCTACGGGAAAGAGTCCACCTTGATGACCTCAAAACGTTTATTCCCAGAGAAGACCGCTGGATAGGATTCACCAATGACCGCAAAGAAGGAGGAAAGCTGAAATTCGTAGGAATGAGCGAGGCCCTAAACAGCATCAAGGAAGAAGGAGCTAGAGAAAAAGGCGGAAGGGCGGTAAGGTTTGGGGTTTGAGGGCAAGAGAGGGAGAAGACACCGAAGGGAACTCGCAAACTGACGTAACGCCGAGAATCATGCGCCGAGAAAGGTTTCGTTTCGTTTCGGGCCTGCGGGCTTCTCGGTATCAAGCTATTCTTAAACCGCGTTGGAGGATTTCTTTTGTTACAGAAGGCATAGTCTAATAAGAGACTATAGGCACGGGGGATTTCCTTTGTAGAATTCATTGCGTATCATTTGGAAAAAAAGGGGGGGGAAGAGGGGGTACTGGCGTTTTATGACTCATTGCTGTGCACGATGGTGGCATTGTTATCCTTTTTTTCTTTCTTGGTTTCGTTTTAAGAAGCAGAAGACGGGGCTAAGCGCTAAGCGCTGAGGACGATGGTTGCAGTCAGGTCTACCTCTTGTGTTTTTTTTGTTGTTGAGGTGTCGATTCGGAGAAGCAAGAAGACAGTAGCTAGAAGTTTGTTGATTAGTTTCAGGGTGGCGCAAGGGTCAAGAGAGGAGGGGGGTTCGTTGTGGCGCAGTCTTGGCAGAAGCACGGATTGAGACACGGGTCAGCAAATTGAGGTCACAGCATATCTGGCACTAGCATAGCATTGTATACAAGGGATTTTCCCCTGGGCTTATCCCTTCTTCGTTATCAAGAATCAAGACAATCATCCATCATCATAATCACAGATCACGAATCAGCCTGAAAACGTCAAAGTATGGGGCGTTCGTACGTGAAGGGACCAAGACCAAGAAAGAAAGAAAAAAACCAAGCTATTCTAAACCCCCCTACCTGCCTAGCTACGTGCTGCTGCTCCTGCGAGATGGGTCGGTCCCATGAACAACCTCTTGCTTGGAAGGCTAGGCTAGTGCGGCCCTTAGCGTACCATACGTAGCACTCCCCTCCGAACCCTGAATTTACCCCAGAGTGGAAAGTGAAGGGAGGATCCGAAGGGGAAGAAAAGCAACTAGCGAGAAAGCTAAAAAATCTTGAGTACGAGTTGAGCAGAGCAGCACAGAGATGTATGTACGGTACGGTAGTGCAAGCCAGCCAGTTGCTGTCCAGTTAGCTAACCCAGCTGTTAGCCAGTTACTCGCCTGCTAGCAACGCCAGCCAGCCAGACAACAGAGCAATGAACGCAAAAAGAAAATCAGCGCAAAGGAAAAAGCAGACAAGTACATACTGACTGCAGTACTATGTAAGCCGGTCGGTCATGGGAATATTGGCTGTGGACCACTCGGCTTCGGCACAGCTATTCTGGTAACCAAACTAAAAGTAATAGGATTTGTAGTCTATGACGAGAGTAGCGTGGTTCCTGGATGGCAATCACTAAATGCGGGGAAGCACTAATAAACGACGCTAACGTAAAAAGGGCATCACCCACTCCAGTCACTCAACCTCGCTCCCTCCTCACCATATGAAAAGGAAGAACGGAAAAAAACACCCTAGAAGAAGCAAAAAACCACACGACACTTGTGTAAGAGAGACTCCTCTCTGAGAGTGCGAAGGAGCGCCATGGCCACCTCAAATGCCGCTAGGACGAGACGAACGCTGCTGCAGCGGTCCTCCATCCATCCATCACTTCAAAACCCCCTAAAGCCTACATACAAGAGTTACATAACCTACCTTGAGTCTGCAGTAGCAGGACCCCAGGCTAGGAAGAACCTGGAGAAAGGGAAGATGAGACACGGGATCTCGCGTACATATGGTCCATGGGGAGTACCAGCAGCCAGCCAGTTGGCGGAGAAAGAACGGGGAAAAAAAATGCAAAAATGCAAATTGAGAAAAATAAATATTAGAAAGAAAAAAAAGAAAAAAAAAGGAGAGACATGCTACATACCAGATACTCAACTTCTGGTAGGTGGTGAGTCGATCTTGGGTAATGGTTTCGCTACATTTTTTCCGTTTATATATTTTGTTCTTTTGAGAAACCTTACACTCACTCAAGAACGAAGGGGAAAAAATCGATAATGCTTGCTTGCGGGAAGTCGCATGACAAGTCTCTCCATACTTAGGGGGAAAGTGCATGGTAAAAGTGTCATATCACTTTGAGAAAAAAAGGCTTACATCCTCGACACTCTCGTGAGATTCAACAATTTCTCAACTAGGACCACTCTCATGTAGATCAATCTGGTACTACAACCTTAACTTGGAAGTCATATAAAGGATGAAAAGGATAAGAACTGTACTCCAAAAGAAAAAAGAAAATAAACCACGGGGATTATTTCTGTTAAAGTGCTCATTTAAACATCAAGAGGAAGGGAACATGGTCCTCCTGGTCCTTTGGACAAGTCATGGGGCAATCAAAACCCGGGGAGCGGAGGTCTAGAAGGAGATAAGTATTGAAATATGTACAAGTCAATGACGCATGTATTCACTTGACTGAATAGGTGATGAAGTAGGTACATCTCGCGCAAGGAACAGTTATGAATACGTACATACTCTGCGAACTACGAACTGTCACTGAACGTCTACAACTCCCATGCCAGTGCTTAACTCCCCTAGGTAATTACGAGTACGTACACTCTCGTGAGAGAAAAAAATAAACATGGGGTCCTCTTGGCTGAGGAGGGTGACGAGCCTCCACAATATGCATGACAATTGACGCAAGCCTGGAAACTCAGCTGACGGTCCAATCATAAAAAAGCGGAGTACTGAAGCAGATGGGGTCCAGGTTAGGACTGTAGGTTAACGTTGAATTATCTATTCTCAATCACTTTTCAGTCTAAGCGCAGCCATGAGCTGTGCCTGTGATATGGCTGACGGTTAGCTAGCTAAACCAGACACGGTTCGTCTCAAGAACAACGCGGGAGCCTCAAATTCAATAACGACTGACAGGCCAAGAAATGATGGCATTGATCAACGGGTGCAAAGCTCACGACCTAGATCTCGCCGCAACAGGAAGCCTCTCTTAATATTGTGGTCCAAGGGCAATTATGTTTCACCGTATGAAGTAAAAATGCAGGGTTCCACCAAGGAAATACTCGCAGTTAGCGACTGAAAAAAAAAGATAGGGGATGTGGACGTCTATGCGCAATCAATATCGTGAATATTCAACACCATGGGCCCTCAGCCTGGGTCTCACGACTACATCCTCGTTTGAGAGATTGTGCCTTTCTTCGGGTTCGGGACAGGAATTCGGCTCATGAGATTAACAGTCTGTTCGCACCTCTCTTCGGTTCGCCACCCGTACCTATCAGTGTCAATCTATGTCTGATTTGGGAACATGATGGGTAGCGGGAAGTGATAGAAGTGTGGAAAAAGCTTTCACGATGGTTACCTACGAGGCTTTGAGCTTCTCTCAGTAGCGAACCGTCTATCTACAATTGCCACCAACCACATGCTACAAAAAAAAGGGCTATGAAACTCCTGTGGGGATTTTTTTTTTATGAGCAGTCGTATGTGATTGGGTGGGTCAGCTGGAGCTTGTGTTTCGTTTTTTACTTTACATAGAAACAATAGTGGCAGAAAATAGAAGTAAAAGGAAATATCGTGAGATAATAGGTGATGCAAGTAAAGTGGATTAACATATGTTTCCACTAGGGTATTACGGCAGGGGCAATGGGTGACCATGTTAGAGAACCCAAAAGAGTAGTACCGTTTAACATGGAGTTCAAGCACGGATTTGGATAGCACGACAGCAGAGAGGTTGATCAAAAGAAAGAGTTGCAGGAACGACACTGAAGCCTAGCTAGCTGATAGGTAACCACTGTCATCCTCTTCAGTTGAACAGCCCGTAACGAGGCGTAAAAAAGCCCGAAGAGAGTCTTTACCCAGGAAAGAGAAAACTCGTTGCGTTTCGTGAGTGGACAGATGTGAGAAATTTGTCCTTTTTTTCCCTTCCTTTTTTTTCCCTCCAATAGATTACATGCCTTCAATAGTACTTTACGGTAGAGTCATGATGGAGGGTGAAAGGACAAAACAATTGGGTGTGTGAGGCGCAACGGGCAGAGCAGAGAGACTGGAGGGAGGTGCCGCACACACGAATGCAGGCCAAATACAAAGTAGAATAGGAAAGAGGTTGTCTCGGAGGGCTGGTGTGGGAACTGGGGCGAATAATTATTTCATTTTTCCAATTTGAGATTATTTATTTATTTTGGGATGAAGGAGGGTTGGAATAAATTAGGAATTGGAAGAATGAAAAAACAGCATGAAAAAACAGATTTTTGTGTTTTGATTTTTTCTGGGGGGGGGGGGACTTGCGCTGCTACTACTGCAGACGACGACGCAGCTGCTGCTGCACAGGGATCGAAGTGGCCTCACCCTCATGCTTGGTGGCCCTGCACTCCTCTACCCACCACACCCTCACACAAAAGCCTAGTACTTTTGCGATGCATCACACCCTCGGCGAGCTAAAGACTTCATTGGTTCACGCCAGACAGGCAGCGATCGTCTCGGATGGTGTGGATCCTGGCAGACCCACTCACTTTACCACCAAAGCACGCAAACCCTCCCCTCACTCGCTCACTGACTCTTTAGTTAGCAGCAACAACCTCACACACTGCCCTGCCTAACCACTCTTTAAATATATGCTGCCAGTCTCCCCCTCCGATCTCGTTCTAACCCCCCTCTCTCACAACACGTTTGGCTTGCCCTTCATTCATCACCATAACTATCCACTATCACTACAAGTCAAATCAATCATCTCGACTACTCTGCCAAAACAACTGAGTTCGTTCCTTCAATTCAAAATCAATCATCAATCCATCGATTCTTCACTCTCGAACATCGTCTCAAATAGCTGAACATCAGCTAAAGTTTATAACAACCAAAAAAAAAAAAAAAACACCTTCGCTACTACTCAATAAACATCACCAAAATGGACTGGTCTCCTGATTACTGTCTCTCTTGCGATCGTGAGATCTCGCAATCTGGTCACGGAGCGTACTGCTCACAATCGTGCCGCCTGGCGGATCTCGAACATGCTTCATGCAATTCCGGCTCATCATCACCTACTACCGCTCCTACAACTTCATGGCAGAACTCTAGCATGAGCACTGGTGCTGGATTCTACCTTCCTCCTCCACTCAACTTCTCTGCGATGTCTGGAAGACAGTCAAGCTCAGCATCCTCATCACCTGCATCAAGAAGCCCAATCTCATCTACTCCTCCTAATCTCTACTCTTCACCATACGCACCAAACAACACTCGTCCTTCTCAGCTTTACACCTCACCATCACGCACCTCATTGTCGTCATTGAACAGCTACAACGGACAGCAGGAACCGGCAGTGCTTTCGGACAAGGTCAAGAGCGAGCTTAGGGATTATGCCAGCTCATTCGACCATGTAAGGGACTGGAAGCGAAGGATGACAGTGGTTTAATTTTGGGGACAAGGAAGAAAGAAAACTTGGGCGGTTGTACGATGGGGAGGAGGCTTTAAGGGTCTCGGCACAAAAAAAAATCATTTCGATTCTTACGAACATATTTTAACTACGGGTTTTGTGGGTGGCATTGTCACATTACATCTCATCTCATCTTTTGCGTACGCTATACCATTCGCATCAGCATTCGAACAATATCTTCTCCTAGCAGTCATCGGTGTCTCACTGCTTTGGGAGTTGGCTGGCATCGAGGGCTGCTTTTCTTTATCTTCATTTCATATCTGCATATTTCGGGGTCTCTTAAAAAGTTTCTATTTTGTCGGTTTTGTGCTTTACGTTCGGGGTTCGGTTTTCTAGGTTGTGTGCGTATGGGAGATTTTGGGGCGTACCTTTTTTTTCCGTTCTATGTCTTAACATGATCTCGGAGAGGTGAACTATTTGGGTCTGCTTTTGCTTTGCAACATCTACACTCTTTACATTTCCTACTCTTTTTTAAGCTATGTTGCAGGGGGAAGGCGTCTGATAGGCCATCTAAGACTTTAATTGGTTTCTTTCTCTTGTTACATACTACGACTTTCGATGTTCAAAGTTTTTATTTCCTATGTTATCGGGTTTGGGGGATGAGAGCTGTTTGAGTACGATTAGGGCGTTGTAACTTCTAGATTTTTTTTTTTACTTTTCTTTTTTCTTTTTTTTGAGGTGATCTCCAATAGCTGAATAGTTAGGCCAATTATATGGCAGGGAAAGGGAAAAAATTAAGTTTGATCACCACACACATTTGCTCCAAATTATTTCTGACTTGCGAAAATTTTTCCAAAAAGTTCCTGCTTACACTCTCTGGCTGGGTTCCTTGCTGGGCTGTGGTATGTGACGTTCGCCGAGATCGAGCGCGGGCTCTGTTTCATCCGGTCGGCGATCCTTCACAACCGGTATCGAACATATTTTTCTGCAGCGGCTCGGTGGTAATGGCAACGAACTTTAAAGTACTGACCTGATATGTTGGTGGGCTATCAGGCAACCTCATACGATGAAAGAGCGGGCAATAAGGTAAGGGTTCTCCGCAAGCGATACTAAATGGAAAGGATCAAATTTTTTCTTTTCTTTTCCCTTCTTCTACCATCGGTCTCTTCGGATGGGCATTGGCGGGTAGGTTCATCCATACATCGTGCGCACATTGTACTGCCTCCTTCGATGTCTAAGGTACCCTACCAAGTGAAGTACCTACGTAGGGTACTACTATAGGTCTGTACATCTACAAATTTTTTATTCTTTTTTTCTTACTCTACTCTTTCCCTTTCCTTTCAGTTGCGCACGTTGCTGGCAGTTCGCTGTCTGATACGTAGGTTAGCCTGCTACTACTAAAAAAGTCACGGCCACGGGAGACAGTCAGTCAATCCTTCCTTGCCAATTGAATTAGCTTTCTAGGATGATTCGACCAGGTATCATTATTGTATCATCAGGAAGTTAGTTAACCACTTCTGTGCCTAGAGTGGCTCTTCCAGGCAGAGGTCCCCAATCCAAGGTTGCGATGCAAATTTCAGATTGATGGTCGGAAGGAAGCGGACGGGAATGCATTGCTGCACCACGTGTATGGGGAGGGGAATTGTGAGTAGCCGGACCCCGAAAATGGAGACGCTTGTATGGTTTTTGAAAGGTCGTACTATGCCTCTTGCCTGCTTAGGTGGCTAGAGTAGCTAGCTAGAGTAAATATTAATATCTCTACTACTACTTACTAGACTAGGCTTGCCCATACAGCAACAACAGTTGTTAATTCTGCACCTGCAAACTCCGATAGAGTACGGCCTAGAACTGTGGTGTACCTACGGATATGCTCCCAGATAGTAAGGATAGCCATGACTCAAATTGAGTTGCTTCCCTTTTTCAACAACCATGGAAAGGATATATTGTGCGCTTTATTTTTCTCTTGGCACCAAGAGTGTGCTGTAGAATACGTACGACTGCGCACGCAATCAATTTCTTGCTTGCCCTGCTCCATACTGTGCTTTTTAAAGTATGTATCATGTAAGATATGTGCATGGAAGGAAACGTCTTGAGTTTTTTTTTTCTGTCTTGGAGAGAACCAAGTCCGGAGTACCATGAAGGTTAAAGCAGGCGTGTTTCACGACCGTAAGGGAAGCCTGGCATTTGCAACAACATCCCATCCGTCAAACCGTACGTACTTGAAGAAACGGCCGGTTGTCCATCCTTCGGATTCATCGTTAATCCCTTCAAACGCGCAGCACAGAAAAATAGTCTGGAATTTTGCCAAATCAGACACACAAGGCTGTAGATCAAACCCCAGTACATGGCGGGAGATTGACACCCTGGCCCTTGCCTTTTTGCCTGCCTACCTGCCTACATCCTTCTTTCTTCCACTGCTCTCCCTCTCCTTGGTTCCCTTCATGCTCAACGCACATTGGAGAAAGGCGAGAAAAAAGATGACTTGTTCCAAATATCTCGACAGCATTTATTCGTCGCTTAAACAAGAATAAAGCAAAAGATCCTTTCCGGTTTATCCGAGTGGTAATGTATGTACCCAGAGCGCGTAAAACTGGGTTCTTGGAGTCAAGCAAGTAGGCAGGAAAGAAGGGAAAGAAAAAAAGATCCTCCATACTGGCGGAGCGCCAGAGGGTCATCATGAAAAATTTCCCATGGTTGACCTGTCAAAATACCCAAACCAAACACTTTTCATGCACATCGAGCGATAGTGAATGTACCCATCCATGCCTCCGGGGCCCGCACCGCAAAGCGACCGAATCAACTGAGAATATCGCTGCAAAAAGTGAAGTTTTTCATGCTTCGCTTGTTGTGCTTGCTGCTGAGATTTTCCTTCAGCCCACTATTCTGAGACACTTCGATCAAGCAATTGAATAGAAGCCTTTCTCTGGCAATGAATGTATATATCCCTGCACCATCATCGATCTCAGGCCCTCGCGGAACCGGGAAAGAAGGAACGTATGAGAGCGCGGTACATTGGTACTTTCCCTTTCCATCCTCTCTCTATTACAGGTCTCTCCTTGTTATTATTGTTGTGTCGCTCCCTGATTGAAACGAAACGTCAAGGTGAAGGATGATTTGCTTCTCACCCCTTGGCACTGGTACTTGAGGGCCGCCCATTGATCGAGAAGCTGATTCGTCGCCTTGGACAGGGGGGAAAGAACAAAAAAGAAAGGATGACTTGCATGACGCAAAGTCCGCAGATGGATGGTGGAGAGAGAGAGAGAAGAAGGGAAGGAGACAGCAGGGGGAGAATGTTTACAGGAACACCCCTGTCGGCTTTGTTCCGCTCCCGTGTCCTGTTCCTGTCCAGACTTGCCTACGCTCAGACATAGGTACAGGGCAAGTCAGCTTTGAGCCTCTTTCATGTATTTTTTCTTTATTTTATTCCTTTTTTTTTAAATTATATTTCGTTTTTCTTCCCTCTCTCGGACATAAAAGGTACAAACAGTAAAACGAGCCGGAGACAGATCGCAGCCTTGTGGAGTTAAGATGCCGCCGGTGGCATTTCAATTGAGTGCGGGCATAGCAGGCGAGCCCTCCTTGCAGCATATTGGAGCCTCCTTCTTCTCCTTCTTGGCCCGTTCCTGATTTCCCTGAGGCTCCGGTGCTAATGGGGCAGTGTTCCTGGTTTTACCCCCCCAATCCCACGGGGTATGAAGCATTCCTTCTCCAGGTTTCGTCTTCCGGCTCCGTAAATAACACGAATCTTACCAGAGCTAAGAGCTAGAGAAAAGAAAATAAACCTCCGTCATCATCCGTTCCAATTCTCCTAAGCGCGTTAACCCGCACATTGGGAATTACTACGGAGGTTTGGTCTACTTTACTTAGTAACAGTCGTACGAGGTGAGAGACTCTCTCTCTCGTACGTACTGTAGATAGAGAGTACTCTACCCTAAGGTGTTCGTCCGAGGACCGTGAACAAAACAGCCCATGGGAACACAAGGAAAAGCGGTTGGCCGTGGAACCTTGGTAGGCAGAGGACGAAGAGGAGCGCTTACTGTATGTAGCCACCCATCAACAACGACAATCCTATCTAGCTAGCTAGCCCAGCTACATTACCTACTCTTCTCTCCAACGGGACCTGCAAACGAACGGGCAAAAAAGGGCCTCAACTCCAATTCCATCCTGTGCAATTTACAAGATTTATTGCGCAATGACACTTCATCAATCACGATTATCAACTCGGGGAAGGGAATTTCGAATCAAGAATGGCGTACGTTTGGCCCTGAGTGAGTGGATTTTGATGGATGGATGGTTGGTTGGATGGACAGGCATGGAAACATCCAGGGGACAAGCCATACGCAAACGTAACCACCAATCCACCATCCACCATCCCATGAGGTGGAATTATGCTCTCACCATAACAGCTCTTGGCGATAGCGCCTCCGAAGGGTGGGAGGGCGCGATCTTGGTTCCGACACCACATACATGCGCAGGCTAGCCCAATTGGCGTTATAATAAACAATCCTTAGAAGGGTAGTCCCCCGTTGACTCATCCATGGGATCACCGATTCGCACTCTTCCTTCTCGGAGACTCTAAACCCTATCTTCACTTAGACTTAGCAGTCACTGGGGTGATGGGATCGAAATAACTTGACAACAACTTGTTCCTGGCCAGCCAGGTTCCACCTACGTGCGTGGTGATGGTTCTGGCCATGGTTAATCGATGATGCTTAATTCTAGTAGCCTTGGTGGTTGAGTTAACAGTCAGCAGGGGGCGCCTTTTTCGCACATGGAGTTAGAAAGTACCCTAGCCCTAGGTATCTCCTTCCTCCTGGAACGTTCACCCTACACGGCCACCCAGTTTAGTAGAAAAAATTGTTTTCTTCTTTCACTTCGGCGCCGGGAACATCTTTTTCCATTTTTCTTACCACCACCACAGCTACGATCAGCCCCACGTGCTCGAGCTCGAGGGCCCTTCATAAAGAAAAAAACAAAAAAAACACAGGGGGAGATCAATTCCTCAAAGCGGGCAATCTCTGGACGGACAACGTGCTTTTTTTTTTACATAATAATAATAGGATACAGGAAAATGCGCTCTGCGGGTGTAGCTAGGAATTGATTGAATAGGAGGGGAGGACAGGAACGCACGTTTTATGTTTCGATAAAACAGGTGTCATGGCATGAGCGAGCATGATGAGGCTTTACATATACCTACATATGTACAGTAAAGGTAAGGCTGTGGGATATTGTTCTCTTTCTTTTCTTTTTGGCTGCTGTGCTGCCTACGTATCAGGAAGGAAGGAAGGAATGGAAGGAGAGGGCGGTAAGTTAACTTATTTTTCGGTTTTTGTTTTTCGGGCGTTTTTTTGTTTTTTTGCTATGCTCTGCGGCCATGGAGCTGGCTAGTTATGAAAACGGTACGAGCCCCATTCATAAAAATGCAGTTTAGAGGGTTTAATATAATGATGCGTACACGCATAACAAGGAATTGCTATTAAGAAAGCCGCCCAGGCCATGATCAGGCAATTGCCTAGCAAAACCAAGCCAAAACCAGGCAAATTATATTAGATTTCCATTAGCTAAGAATGTAGGTACAAGGCTAGCTACTTACCACGAAGGCGTGCCCCAAGATGCACGTGTATATATCTTAGCTCCTGATCATCAACTGAGGACCTTGATGGTCAATCTGGAAGGCAAGAAAGCAAGCTAAAGCAAGGCTCCCGGCACTAAAGTCAAAACAATCGGCATGATAGCAAAATTAAGCAGCAGCTATTAATCAACTCATCACAGGCAACATGCGTACTCGCAATGCAACTGGTTTCTTGTGCACGGCCCATCTATACTTGTAGCTAGCTATAAGCTGGTTATCTAGATATTGGATGTCATTATATGGCGAGGGAGAACAGGATACTGCTGCCGCTGGGAGCAGAGCAGCAGCAGCAGCAGTAGAAGGATCTAGATAGATTTGATAGGTCGTACAATTAATTAGGATCTAGACGCCGTTGTCTATATGACGATGGAATTAATGTTGGGACCTTTTTTTTATTTATATATTCTTGTTTTTATTATTTTGGGGGAGGTGTCCACCACATTAATAGTATTGGGATATAATTAACTATATAACTGGCTACTTATGCACCCCATACCGCACCCTAAACCACATTTTCTCTTCAATTCGTTCCCAATCCCAAAACCACAGAACAAAAAACAGCCCCACAAAATGGCACCCGTACCCGGGTTTTCCAAAAAAAATTTATGTATATGTATGCACATTATACTTCCTCGGCCTTAAGCTTGCCAATTAGAAAAAAGATTCCAATACCGCCCGCGGCCGCCCCTTCTGCATGCAAAATGACCACAGCTCGACTCCCTCTCTTCCCACCCAGCTACCGGGAATTAAAGTGACGTCTCTACCATCCATCCCTCCATTTCCTCATAATGCTACGCCATTACCGTATTGATTTTTTCTTTCTTTTCGGTTCTTTTTTTTTTTTTCTAGAGAAAGAAAAAACAAAAGAAAAGGAAAAACTTTGTTTTGCAGGTACCCCATATTACTGTGTAAGTAGGTGTAGGTGTAGGTGTAGGGTAGGGTAGGGTAGGGGGTAGGGTAAGGTGCATATGTTTTTTATGCACTACCGGCACGGCAGAGTGTAGATTACGGAACGGAGACCTTCATTTATTTTTATTTTTCACTCAGAGTTTTTCCCTCCTCCACCCCGGATATGTAATGTGTATGCATGGACCTTTTACTTTTTACCTTTGCCTTTTTTTCACTTTTACTTGCCGGGCCGAGCACTAGAGTAGAAGTCGGTATGTATATAGATACGATGCATCACGTAGTACCTACGTATGTACTCTGCTTTACTTGACCTCCGCGTGGGGAAGGAGGAAGGAGCCGAGGTCGGGGATGGGCCGGAGGCGGGAGGCGGGAGGGTGGGTTGATGATAGTGATGGTAGTGGTGGTGGTGGTGGTGGTGGTGGTGGTTAGTCAGTGGTATCAATGATCGGAATGACTACTTATGTAGTTGGCATGTACCACGCACCTACAAATTGTAGGCACAGTACCTACATTGACAGAATTAGATTCAAAGGCACAAAGAAAAGAAAAAAATACAGAATCTCGTACCTAGAGTACTCACCCTCCTAACTAACTCAGGCAATCCACTCTACTCTATCCCACAAGTCGCGCGCCAGGTACCAGCCAGGCCAGCCTCCCACCACCACCCCACTCAAGACATAACCGAGTGACCTCTCATGCCTCACCCACTCCCATTAATTCATGATCACCACACCTCCTCCCCTCCCCACTCGCCGGCCCAACCCCACACTCCACCACTTCCCCCCCCCCCCCCCCAACCTCGGACCCTACACCACACCACAGCACACCTCCCCCCTCCCGCCCGTCGGGAAATCTCCTCCCACCCCCCCCAAAACAAAACAAAAAACCCCCCCCAAAAAAAAACAGTACCCAATCCCCATTGGCCGCACCGTACGGCAGATGGTGTAAGCTACGCGGCCGGGTTTCGAAGTAAACCGCTCGTCGTCGTCAAAGGAAAAAAAAAAGAGTTTTTTTCTTCTTTCCCTGTGCGACAGTGAGTAAGGTAAGGTAAGCTAGATAACCCAAACCCTTTCCTTTCCAGCCCCGGGGGTTTGGGTGTGGTGTGGAGTGGTGTGGTGTGGAGATAGGTGGAATAGGGTTGTGGTTGGGGGGGGAGGTCAGAGAATTTCGAAAGAAAAAAAAAAAAAGTAAAAAGTCGCCAGATACTCGAGATAGATAGAGTAGATAGGGTAGATAGGTTCCGTTCAAGTTTACTCATCCATCCAACCCTCCCTCCCTCCCTCGGAGCTCCCCCTCTCCTCCAACCCAAATCACCGTCGCACTGCATTTGGGGTTTTTGGGGGGGTGCTGTTTTGTCTGGCGGGCGCGGCGCGGCGGGGGAGAGGGGGGGAAACAAATAGCAGGAGCAGGAGCAGGAGCAGGAGCAGGGCCCAGTTTCGAATCTGCAGGTTCGTTTTTGTTTTGTTTCGTCTCGTCTCGTTCGTTGGCCCGTGGGTGGGCGCCTCTTTTTTATTATTATTTGGTTCAGAGGGCAGAGAGGGCGGGGGAACAGGACATTTCGAAAAACCGAAGAAAAAAGATGGCCGGTCGGTATTACAACTGTACGTATCGGAATTTAGCTGGTATGTAGAGAGGCAGGCAGAGAGGCAGGCAGGCAAGCAGGCAAGCAGTCAAGAAAAGAAAAGAGTCACGCAGTGTGGAGGAAGGAGTGCCTATGCCTATGCTAGATTATGCACGACACAGTCTACACTCCTCCTCTCATCTACAGTACAATACACTACACTACACTACATACTCCATCACGCGGGGCGGAGTGGGCTGGATGGCTGGATGGCTGGCTGGATGGATGGAGCTCCTCTCCTCTGGTGTCGAAGAGTAGAGAGCGGTAAGTATCGTATCGGAGGTGCGCCCCGCCCGTCCTGTACTCTACTCTAGCTACGGGGAAAAAAGAAAGAGTACGTCGGTTTGTTTTTGTTTGTTTATCCGTGAAGAAGGACGTTAGCTAGAGTATGTAGTTTAGTTTAGTTTATTTCATGTCGGTATCTCTCCCTCCCCCTCCCGCCAGCTGGTATGTGAATTTCCCCCTCATGAATTTTAATTGCCGGCTTGAGGTGTTTTGGTTGAAACCGAGGCTTCATGGCTGTGTTTGATTGGCGGGCTGGGTAGCTTTGTTTTTGTTTTCTTGTGTGATGATGAGCTAGCTAGACAGCTAGACAGATACATAACTTCGTCAACGAAAACAATAACAAAAAAACAACAACAACGGATAGGGCGTGAGAAACAAGTCCAATCAGTCAAGCCGGCGGTGAGAAAATGGTCGGGTTGCTGTTGTGTGTTGTCGGGATATTTCTCTACATGTATGTATGTACTATGCAGTCATGAAACGTCACTCGGACGCCACAAAGCTTGGTGATGACGAGACGACTAGGAAGAAGAGGAAGGAGAAGAAGGAGAGAAGCGAGGAGAGAAGCGAGAGAAGAGGGAGAAGAGAGACGGACAGACTCTCTCCCCTTCGCGTGCACACACGGCCAATGACTGCGCGCGAGTGCCGTTTCACTGCTAAGCTTTCTGCACGATAAGCGTTGTTGCGGCCCGCACTCACTGATATCATTGATATGCAAAAAAGCCAATGATCATTTTTTCAAACTACCCATACAACAACTATTTTCACTCAACCACTTCCACACACACACAAAAAAAACATACTCAACACCACAGCATTCACACACCCCTCCCCCGCCTACAAAGAAAACATCAAAGTCCCATACCCCAGCTGATCATACCCGCCACTGTTCGGGCCATAGTTCCCTCCGCCACCCTCAGACCCGCTCCCATTCGTCCTGACGAGCGCCGCATACTGCGTCGTCCACGGCGCGGCCAGCCCCTTCTTCTTCGCATACTGATTGTACAGCAGCTCCCAGATGGGCCTGATGTCGCCCCTGCTCGCGGGCGCAATCACCGTCTGCGTCACGTCGCTGTTGGTATAGGTCGTGTACGGCACGTCGTTGCCCAGGTTGTACTTTGCCGCGTACTCGGCGCCCTTGAGGATGCGGTTGTCCAGGTACCCAAACAGGTCCAAGCCCTGGCTGCCCGCCATCTTTGCAATCGTCCCCAGCATCCCCACCACGAGCATTGTATGGCCCTGGTCGCGCCCGCTCTCTTGCAGCTGCGCAAGCCCGGCATCGGCGCCCGTGTACACCTTCCAGATGGCATTCTCGATCGCGCCGTTCCCGGCACCGTGGTAAAAGTACTCGATGGCTTCGTCGTAGATGGTCTGGTTGTCGGCGACCACGCCGATGGCGATCGCGCTCGCGATATTGCACAGGTCCCAGTTGGCCCAGTAGTGGTCGATGGCCGCGCCATTGTGGTTGAGCAGGAAGTTGCGGTTCATGGGGTAGAAGACGTCCAGCAGGACCTCCTTCGCCGCCGCGAACCCCGTCCAGGCGCTGTACCCGCGCAGAATCTCGACCGCGTTCGCAAACTGGAACCCGTACAGGCCCGCCGCCAGGAACTTGTCGGAGCTGCCCGAGATCTCGGTGAGCGTGGAGGACCAGGCGTCGATGACGGCGGCGGCGGCGGCGGCGTAGGTGGTGTCACCGCTGATCTTCCAGCGCAGTGCGAGCGCATAGGCGGCGGCCATGTCGTTGAAGAGGAGGGAGTAGTTCTCGGTGCCGAGGCTGCTGGCCCCGCGGTAGACGGTGGCTACGGGCCGGGCCGTGTAGGTGGAGGCCGAGTGGGAATTGGCCGTCAGTTTAGCAAAGCCCGTGGTCCATGGTTGGGCGCCGGAGGCGACTTTGCTAGCGACAAATGTGAACTCGGAGGCGGTGTGGAGGAGGCCTGGGTGGGTGAAGGCGGCGAGGGAGAAGGGAACGAGGAGGATGAGGGAGGTGGCGGAGACCCTCATTTTGGATTGGTGCTTTAGGGAGCGTGGATTGAGAAGCTGAGGGGCCAATGAGCTTGAGAAGCTTGAGAACCTGAGGAGCTGATGAGCTTGATGAGCTTGATGAGCTTGATGAGCTTGATGAGCTTGAGAAGCTTGAGGATAGCTATTTTGGGGCCAACAGCGAGCTCTATATACGAATCAGAACTCAGGAGTCAATCCTCAGTACTCTACAGAAAACGTCGAGATATCAAACATACCATAGCATCCCCAATTGCCCCTCCAATCCACCAAAGCTCCTCCAGCAGTATTCTCCACAACTCCGTAGCTCCCGGGAACAGTCCGTGCGATCCTCCGCCGCCGTCTGGAGTATACAAGATTTCCAGGACCGGCGCCGGACTGTAGTACACATTTTATATTATTTTGGACAACCCTCTCTTTCTGCTGACGTTGGGGATGGGGATACTTGCCCCAGAAACCCGGTCACCACTACTATAGTAACGATCGGACTTTTAGGAGTATACAAAAAGCTCCCAAAAGAGGACTTATGAAACATTATTCTTTTATCTAAGGAGTACCGCATTAGGTTGGGGTTGTGCCTGTACGGGCCGGGGTCCGTTGGGAACGGGTTTTTATTCGCCGAGTTTTGGATACTGATGGTAGCTGAGAGGCTTGATCAGGTCATTTATTAGGAACGCCCAGTATTGGTTAGTAGGCCAATTATTCTAATGCTTTGTTAGAATTATATAAAAAATTATATAAAACATAGTAACAACTATATCGAACCAATACCTGAAACATAGCTATTGTTACTAGCAGGATAGCACGGCCAATAGGTCTTATAATACGGTGAGGTTCCTATAATAGGGAGCAACAGTATGTAGATATAGCTACCTGTGTAGGTGTAATAATACTATGAAGTCATCACTAAAGACTAGGGGACCTGTAACCACAGTCAATCATAATTTCAACCTATATAGTAATCGGTTAAGTAATATTTCTAAACTTACGCGGCGAGCTATATAACACCCATATCAAACCTATGTTCATCCAAAAACTCAGCTGCGGTATTCCCCCGCACTTTCTCCGTACTTTTAACCTCCCCAGTTTTTTCACCCCCTCCTCCGCACTCTTCCCTGCATCAAGAGCCTGCGCGGCCGAGTTCCGATTTCTGGTACCACTATGGGGTTTGTAAGGTCTTAAGGGGTGTAATGTACTAATCGGGCTATGATCGACCGTTTATATTGGCTAAACGCTTACGGTACTAATGACCTCTGAGCAGTCAATTGGAGCTTCCACTATTTTCTGCAACTAGTACTTAATACCACGGGCCTTCCTGCGGAACCGGGGGGGGGGGGGGGAGAGAGACCAAATTCCCCAATTTATCGAGGTGAATTATTATTATTATTTAAATTTTTCCCATCAAGTCGCGGTTTTGGTGGATAAATCAAGTTTGCAGTCAAACCGCATTATTTTGATCATCCGTATCAACGAGCAGTATGTGCCCCCTAAATGCATTCCACGTAGTGTCGTTCTCCAGATTTCCCCACCGGGACGGCACGAGACTAGATTCCGTGTGCTCAGATGCATTTACCATCAGAACAGGCATTGAAACTACTGTTCTTGGCAGGGTTACTAGCAGAAACTACCGTGTTGCAGCATAGCACGAAATCGAGGTTTTATGCAGTGCTGCGCTGTTCATCTATGGGGATTGCCTTCAATTTCTAGAAACGTCAAGTAGAAACGGGCATATGTACCTTATTTTTCGGCCATGGGGGAAGGGACTCAAGGGAGGTTCCGGTTTCCCCATATATGTATCAGGGTGTCTTGTACTAGCTAAGCCATCCGAGCCCACGGAAAGATGAAGCTTGGCCCCTTGATACGGAAGTTCCACTCCAGGGCAACCAAGGGTTGATAAATGCCAATTTTCGGGAAATCGTTAAATCTAGGTGGCCCGGGCCGAGCATTTTCTTCTCGGTATCTTCCGAACAGGCCCCCCTTCACCCCCCTAACCCTAGAGAAACGGCAAACAACACATCAATGTGATTCCTCTGCGTATGCGGGAGTGTCCCTTGCTGTTTGGTGTTTTATTATCCCTAAGGGTCAACATACCCTCTTACGCTTCTTCCTTCCTTGATTATCAGATCATCTGCATAATCACCTCAGGTCTTCAACTTTACGAATAGGTAATAGAGGGTATGTCCTTCAAAAGAGTGAAGTACGTCACATGATATCGTACGCCAGTAGGACGCATCAACGGCCTAATGAAATCAGATATCTCTGCCTTTATCAAGATGTTTTGTGCTAATATAGCGCAGCCCTACCAGTGTGACCGGCCGGCCATACCTACCCAATGTTCCTCCGCATCGGGGCCGGCGAACAAATGTCGGTATCTCGCCACCGCTGTAGATCAGTATTATGCCAATTGTGATTGGTATTAATAAGAGTTATATAAGGAGATAGTATAAGTCGTTGTTAGCTTCGGTGCTTTCCCTCATGATAATCGTTGTTTTAGATTATCGGTTCGTCATTGGTAAATTTAGGGTCTTTCCTAGATCTCCTTGTTCCCTGGTATATCAGGTTCTCTGAGATAATTGTAGCAATATCCCTTTTTAACATGTTTGTTTAATATCGGAGGGTACTAGTCGCGCCAAATATAATCTTTTGTTGTCGATCCTAGCTTTGGGTCACCGCAAATCACCTATCAAACCACAGGAGAACTTACAAAATACAATAATTAAATCTAACGAGACTCTCCCGGTGCTAAATTTACCTGTATAACGTAGCAACCTCCGTGTAAGCTCCGAACAAGCGGGAAGCACGGAGCCCGAAACATCCACTTGCAAGAAGAGGGTATACAGGCTCTATCTGGATGATATCAAAAGGCTTCGCAAGACCCTATACGCTACCAAAGAGAACCGGACGGGAGAGTTACTTAACAATACCAATGCTACGGGGCAACAGCTCCTCTGCTCTGCAGGGTGGTAATACCTGTCGTTCGCCTATTGTATCCGGTTTATTCGCCGGCGACGTCCATGTACCGCTTTAGAAGGCCCATATGATTTCTAAAAACACTGAAACCTTATGTATCCATACAGATGCTCCAAGGTATAGAGACATTAGATTCCATACACCTAATTGTATTTGGTAGATAAGATGAAAATCGCGATCCATCGAGCAGCCCTTTCGGAACTTGTTTTGTTAGCTTGCTTCTAAGACAAACACACTTCTCTATCTTCACTTATTGGGATTCTTACTCTCTAATACGCGTTTGGATCTGAAGAACTGGTTGGGCTGTGTATGCGGTGGGTGAAATTGGGTTTGGGCCGAATCCTTATAGCACGCTGTGTTCTTACAACCGACGAAAGGTTTTTTTTTTTTTTTTTTTTGTTTGGTTCATTAACCGACGAAAGGTTCCTGCGGGGGTAACTCCGCTATATTGTTGAGGGAAGGAATATTGCAAAAGATAATGTATCTTTAAAACCCGAGAAACTCACCAACCTCGCATGACATGTGTCTTCACTACTGCCGATATATACCTGTATGCTGTGCACATACTAGTAACTACATATGTGTACGTGTCCTTTCTGCGAGTGGGTTATAAACTTCCTCAAAAGCTTAAATTTTCGGACGTAAATTTAGAAGCTCCTCGTGCTACAGTTACTTGCGTAGGACTGAAGTGTTCTGTGGAGGAAGCATTCCCATCAGCGCCTACATGAATTATCAATCAATCAGCACCGATAAGCACCGAGTGATAATTCATGAATCTAATTCATCTATCACACACCAAACATGTTTTGGGGAAAAAAAAGTTAATGGAGTCATAAAGATTCTTGGATAAGTAAAGACTGAAGAACGGTAGTGGATATATGGTACATCGTAAACTACAACATTTTACACATCGGTAATTTTGCTCGTAGGGTTAGATTTAGCTTTTTATAGTATAATAGATGGTAGCTCATCTTTGGAATAAAAACAAATTTTTTTTTTTTTTGCATTCCTATGAGATTTCTGTAGTTGACTGTAAGATGGGTGAAAAAGGTTGAATTAACCGGAAATTTCTACTTACGTATCGTAATACATAAATAAGCTTAGCACACATATACTTGTAGTGTAATGCCGTAATAAGAAGAAAGAAAAAAAATCAAACCAACTAACGCCATCGCTCGACATAAGAAAAAATATGTAGTAATTATAATCCCAATGCACCCACCCATTCTACACACCCTGTATCCAGGTGCTTCTAACGCGGTGGCACAGCGGGTTGGGCACCAAGTACCCATCCAAGTCCACTTGCAAGTCCATGTGTAACCATGCCGGAAACCATATCTCTCTTCCTGATCCTCTCCTCTGTCGCCACAGACCCCTCACTTCCATGCTCACTACCAGTACCGTCCATTCCTCGCCCAGCAGCAAGTGGAAATGTTGACCCTCTGAGTGCCTGTGCGGCCTCTCTCGCGACGGCAAATAGCCCCATAGGAGCCTCGTCTTCTTTTCTTCTGCCTGGACCGGCTCTTGCATCGCCGGTCTTCCAGAGTGCAGCATGACGCTCTTCCTCCTCTTCCTCTTCCTTGAGACCGGCCTGCATTTCTTCCTCACAGCGTCGCCAGGCGGCTAGGACTTCTGCCAGTGCGGGCGGAGGGCATACCCGAAGAGCTTGGCCAAGAAGTTCCATCCGCATTTCGACTGTTCGCAATGCTTTGCCGCCATGTGCAGATGTTTCGCCTATAAGGGCAGCATATGGGGAACGGTACCGTCCTGCCTGGAAGCAAGTACGCCAGATTACGTCCTTAACCTCTTCGGTGTCTTCATCATCTGTGGCCATAGAGACAAGTCGGTTCATGCTGAATGAGTATGCAGTATCAAAATCGGATTCTGAAAGCGCTGCGTCTATGCACATCCCGAGGACTCTGGCGTTGGTTTTTCTACCCCCGTCATAGCCAGTGGTACCAAAGCAGAGGTCCTTGGCGATGTTGGTTAGATTGTCGGCTTGTGTATAGGACTTTGGGTTGGAATCAAGAAGACGGGCAAGGAGAGACAATGGGTCTGCATGAATCCTGACATGAACTGGGCGGAGTAGGACGCCAGGAGTGATTGTTAGAGAGTAGTGAGAAAGTGCGTGGGTGGCATTGACCAGACGGAAAGCACGTTCGAGAGCCGTAGAATTCGAGTATTGAGGATAGAGTATCTGGAGACTGGAAATGATATTAGAACAAATTTCTGAAAATGAAGGGGGGGAAAGACTAACATATTTAACGCATTCTTGACTCCACCCCTAGTCTTGTTTCCATTACTCGCATTGTCGTAAAACTCTTGAAAGGCATCTAATACGCTTCTCTCGACCTCTTCCTTTCCCAACCCTCCGTCGCGTCCGGTAACATAGATTTCCTTTACCAACGGAAACTTTGTAGCTGCTAACATTCCCGAGAGTAGCACTTTCTCAACTTCCTCTACAGATAATTTCTCCAAGACTCCCGACTCGGATCGCATCCACCTTAGACCATTTCTTAGCTTCTTCCACTCTTCATTAGATCTCTTGGCCCAATTCGGCCCGTTCCTCACGTATCGTGTAAGTACTCCTTTCTGGTCGTCGTGTGAACCCTCAAACTTTACTTTTGCCGCTGCCGCCAGCGGAATAGCCAAGATCCCGGCGGAGGTAATCAAGAGATCAAGTATCTTGAGCGATTCTGTATTCGGCGCAGTGAGCGGATTCTCTTTATCTAACAAGCCGCCTAGTTTGGTTGGCGCCTTGTATATATTCCTGGCACCTACACCAGCATCTACAAAGCCCCGCACCCTTTTCTCAACGACCCGCATTCCATCCAACGCCCAACTCTCCGTCTCGCCACAAATATAACATCCCGTTAAGGCGAGTCTTGCGTACTGTTCCCGCAAAGCTTGGTTTTCGGGCCCATCCCATCTAGCGATAACCTCAACAAACCCGGCCCAATCCCCCGATTCAACCTTTTGCTCCAACCATTTCCATATCACGCCCCAACCATTTCCATAGCTCCCTCTATAATTCAAGTATGGGACCACAAGCTGCTTCAAATCCTGTACGACATTTCCTCCCCTTCCGCAGCGGTTCAACAGTTTTTTCGTGGCCGCATCCACTTCCATTGTCTCAAAAACTGCCGTACCCCCAATATCCTCTTCGTTTTCCTGGGCATATTCGTAGACAAGTTTTGATAAGACCTCTACGGAACCATCTAGGTAATCTCTAATCTTCGGTAAATCGTCCCGGAAGGGAGTTAAAAGCTCCCTGATGATCGAGAGTGCGCCGGTTTCTGAATCGATATTGCGCGATCGCTGTAGCAAGTAGGAAGTTACCAGCCCCTTCCTATCTTCATCATTCCCCACCGGGAGAGTTGGAAGCTTTTCTATTTTCTTTTGCGCACTTTTATCGGATATTTTAGTGATTGGCAATGATGATTCCATATCTTCCGCCGTTCTCTCATCTTCCAGTACCGTAATGTCTTCATTTGATAGAACTGTTCTGATAAGCGGGATGTACAGAGTCGGTTGAGTAGTCTCTGGGAGACATAATAGCACACGCAGAAGCGTATGGCCGCGAAGTGTCGAAGAATGCAACAAGCATACCGACCGTAGAGACTTTAAATCTCCGGAGGCTGCGAAATGGGCAGCAAGAATAGTAGCATTTGCAGGAGATAACTCGGCGACCCGAGTAGATGTCGCCATGGTTATTGAATGCTGATAATACTTGATGGGTTTTCGATGGGGAGTGGTAAGTGCGTTGAAGTGGGATAGAAGCTATGCAAAGAATGATGCTGGGGTTGGTTGCAGCTGTTGGATCTACGTAGTTGAACGTGGCCAAAAGAATGCCTGATTAATTCTTGGCACGCATGGAACTAGGAAGAATACGTGTATCATAACTACGTGCACATACGCCATCTTCTATATGCACTCTGGTGCTCTATCAAGACACAAATATGAAGTACCTACGTAGAAGCGATAATCGCAGAGTAGAAATTTGAGTGGAAATATTATAAGTATTCGAGAAATGGCAAATACGGAGCACACATGTATTGTGGCACACACATGTTTAAAGGATTTTGATGCTAAGGCAACTCGAACCAGCTGCCTATAGTAGGGTGTAAATACAGTATCTAAGTGAGCAGCTAAAGAACATTAGATATTAGTTAAGACCAATGACCATGTTTCATGATCTCAAACTACCCAAGTGTAACCATCGAGCGCAGAGGTCAAGTTTGGGGCGGAAGTCCTATTAAGTTGGTGCTGAGGGCCGAGGGATATGTCCCCATTGAATCTTCATAGGCACATGAGGGTACTCTCTTTGGTGCGTCATGAGAAATCACTCACTACCATGTCTATCGCGGGAAATTTTGAAGAAAATTAACTAAAGATATAATTCAAGAACTCTGTACCGGCCACTGTTCTCTCTTGCAAGGAAAATCCCAGTCCCCTAATGCAAATGATCGACGCCCGGCCTTTCTAACTATATACAAATCCCTTTAATGGCAATGAAGAAAGGTCTATGAAATTTACATGATCTCCCGTATTCATGCTACTTACTATGGGAACGTTGATGGCTTACAAACACTGATTCTGGGTTAGTATTTGAATTCAATAAGGGCTTGTAGAGGGGATTGAGCTTACTTGGGAGTAGTAGTCGTTCTGTGCTGTGCATGTGTATGGGCTCACACAAGTCGTAGCACCGGTCCAGCCCTTTCCACCACACTGATAGTAGTGGCCGGCGGCGGCTGCACCAGTTGGGGTGGCTGCCGTGCTTGTTGCAGCTGATGTTGCTACGGCTGCGGATGTAGTAGGAGCGACTACCGCGGCGGAGGTCGAAGTGGTAGGAACAACTGCTGCGGCCGAAGAGGTAGGAACAACTACTTTAGTGGAGGAAGTCCCGATAGAAGAGGTCTTAGCAGATGAGGTTTCAACAACGGCTGAAGTAGGTGCCGCTGCAATTGTTGATGAGACAGGTGCTACTACTGCGCTAGAAGAGGTTGAAGTCTGGACAGCTACAGTACTAGAAGTTACCGCTGATGGGCTGGCGCTAGTACCCAAAGCAAGGATTCTCTCAACGGCCCTCTCGGCGAGAATCATGATAGGAGCTGAGGGGTTGGTGGCCACGTGACCAGGGAAGACAGAGGCATCAACGACGAACTACAGATATTTCACGTTAGAAGTGGTTTATATATGAATGGGGATGTATGCTTACCAGGTTGTCAGTTCCGTAGACCTTGGTGTCAGTATCAACAACTGATCCGGTAGTTCCGTTTCCGTTCCTTCCATCATCAGTTCCCATCTTGGCGCTTCCGAGCCAATGATTGCTGCGACGGTTTTCGATGTAGTTGTTTACAAAGCTCTCAGCGTCAACACCAGCGGCGGGTTGCACAAGGCTGATACCACTGACATTGGCGATGGAGCTCATGATGGATTTGACACCTGCAATAACAGTCTCGATATCATATTCATTGTTCAGGTAAGGGCTGACAGTGGTTGCCATGTTGAGATTCTCCTTGATGGAGATTCTTCCCCTGGAGGTCATACCGGTACCAAGGTATTGACTGATGGTAATGAGGGTATCGCCTTCCTCCCCAAGTGATCCTTCAGCTCTCACAGTCCACTGAAGCTGTCTGGTGATTCCATCGGAGGCAACGAACGATTGCCAAAGCATTGTGTTAGGGCCTGGGGCAGCAGTGGCAAAGATTCCAGCACGGTTGTCGAGGTACAACTCCTTATCGGCTTCGATCGGATCATCGTAAGCGCCGTAGAAGTCGTAGGCGGTGATATTGGGGTGGCTTGCAACCATATCGGTGTTGGCATGGTCCATGACATTGTATCCAACAGGCAAGAGAATCCAGTCTTCCTTGGCAATCATGGAAGCACCGTCAATGGAAGATGCCTGAACAGCTTCAAGGGAGTCCTCGGGACCGATTCCAGAGCGCATCAAGATCTTTGCAGTTCCGAAAGTGCCTGCAGAGAGGATGACCTTTCCGGTATTGGCTGTGACGGTGTAGATACCAGTCTTTCCGCCAACATCGCTGGCAAGGACCTCGACACCAGTGATTGTAGAACCAGTACGGACTACGCGGCGGACGGTAGTGTTGACTGCAAGTTCAAAGTTGTCACGAGCCATAGAAGTCTGGAGGTAGGTAGCCAAAGGTCCACCACGCTCACCATTTGAGTACTTTGTATGGAGTTAGCTAACGATATAATTTCAAGAAATAATGTAATGGTTTCTTACCATGAAAGGGGTGTGAGAGAAAGTCTTGTTCTTCGAATTGGGACTTTCATTCGCAGTAACAGCCTCCCATCCAGACTGAGGCAAAGCGGCGGCCAAAACTTCATATGGTTCCTGCAAGTAGCGCTTACCATCCATGGAAGGAGTATCGGTGGAAGGAATTCTCGCGAAAAGTTTATCAGTTGCAGAAACCATGTCGGTAGCCTTCCAACCATCGGGGAAGTTGTAGTCCCAATCACGGTCTTGAGGCCTGAAGAAAAGACCTGCGTTAACAGCAGTTCCACCTCCAAGGAGACATCCAGCCATCTGATCAATATCGTTGCATGCAATGCCAGTAGAATCGACCCAGATCTCGTTGCAAAGTCCGGGAACATCAAAGCGAGTGAGGTTCTCTCCGTTGAGCCAAGCAGGTCCAACGGTTCCACCTGAGGCATATGTTGATGGCGGGCCTCTCTCAATCAAGAGGACCTTAGCACCAGTCTCCGAAAGACGATCGGCAGCTGACCCTTATTAGTTTTCTGCTATCAAATTTTAGAAGGGAAAGAACTCACTAATAAGACCACCAGCACCTCCTCCGACAACGATGTAGTCATATTCACCCAAAGTCTCAGTTGCAGCCGGGATTGCAGATGTAGCAGTAGCAGAGCTACTTGCTGTAGCAGTGGCACTTGCGGTGGCTGTTGGTACGGCTGATGTGGAAGAGTTGCCTGACGGAGTGCCAGCAGAAAGCCCAGCATCCGAAATCCAAGTTGAATACTGGTCAGACAATGCTGAACCGATGAGCATACCGTATTGTCCAAATCCATTGTCGTGGTATTGAAGAGTGCAGGATGCATCAGTTACATCACTAACTGCGGTCTTACTCTGAGCCCATCCCATAATGGCATACGAAGCTGTCACGTCAAATCCACCATCGGTCCATGAGACACAGTTCTCGCATCGGAAAGTCCATGACCAATGTGTAGAGTTGATGTTGGTGTACATTGTGGTGGCTGTAGCATCGCCATCATATACCGAAGGTGCCTCATAACCACTACACAAGGCAATGTTAGAAGGCGTAGCTCAAATGGCGGTAATTAGATATTGTTACTGACGTGACATAACGGAATGAGTGCACGATATCTTCACCATTGGGCCAGGCAACAAGCAAAAGATTGCTTGTCATTCCACCCCCAAAACTTACACCAGACCAGCCTCCATCAGTATTGATTGGTCCAACCTATTTATCCTATTAGAAATCTCACCAACGGGATTTATAAGAGGGAAACTGTGTTACTAACGATTTGTCCAATGAACTCAGTCGTCGGATCAGTTGGAAATGCGATAGAAAAGGAAAATCCGGAATAGGATGTGGTACTAAATCGCTGAAACGAGATACCAGTCTCTGTATCAGTGTAGGCTGTGGATGATTGAGCTGAAACCAATCCTAGTGCTGTCCATACAGAAAAAACTCATATCAGAACCCAATTCTCAAAAAGTGAGCCTGTGTATCAACTTACCAGAAGCACTCAGCACAGAAAGAACGGAAAGAGCGTTTTTGAAAAGCATTTTGTGTTTTAAAGGGAATGAATAGATATAAAAATAAAAAATAGAAAAAGAATGTAAAAAAAGAATGTCCACCTGAATCAAAGGTGTATAAAGAAAGTCGTTTTTCGAAAACCAAAAGCCCAGTTAAGCGTCAAGCTTTGAGGTGAAGGACTGGAATCATTGAGAAGAACGAAGTGTTTATATATATACAGAGTTGAGCTCTGATCGCTTCTTCTGATAGTACTTGTTACTTACCAAGTACTATCCGCCCCATGTTCAACTTAATTCTTGGTTCTTGGTATCCCAGGGTATGCGCATAGTGTATACGTACTTGCCTGCCCCGAGAATGGGGTTCTGTAGAGTAATAGCTAATAAATCTGTAGTAATTAGTATATGTAGCTACCCTACCAAATCGGTGATAGGAAAGTTGATCAATCGCCCTTTTCCTATTCGTCCATTTAGTGGAAAACACTAATCCCACCCATTACCGTTTCGCAGATATGAGCCCATCCCCAGCAAAAGCCCGTCCGCCGGGCGGCAATAAGGAGGGAAAATTGTTTGTCCCGTTCCGCCATAACTCTTAGGGCGCTTGTCCTTGCGAAACTTTTTATACGCCCCTGGTGTAATATCGGAGCTGTATGTGGCTTCCATCGATCGAATGGAAACCAGGTTTATTGTATGTACATGTGCATATATATTGCGTTGGATTGGTGGTCAGGCAGCTTTCTATCTGAGAGGTTTGGTATGAACCTCGCAGGACGTGAAAACCTCGGGAGCCAACACCGGTCTCCCCATAACATATATCGTTCGCATCTTATTTCTTATATCTGCATATTATTCAATCCTTCTGGAATTCCCAAGAAGCTATGGTGATGTTGACTTCTACGTTACGGACCCAAGTATACTCTACCAGGTACTCTATTACTACCCTGCTCAGTGGAGGTTACACTTAGATTGCGGCTCAGTAGCGCTAGTCGGGAACCAACGTTAGAGTATTATTGCGACCAGTTCTACATGTGGTTAGTAGGGTCCAAGGGGGAAAAATAGGGATTTGGGTCTAGGTTTCAAGCAACAGGCCTGGTCAGTTTCATTTTAACAAGAATAAGCAGTATGTTGAAACAAGCACAGGTGTAGGAACTTAGTGCTCCCCTACGAGCTACCAGTGTGATATCTCAGTAAGTAAATGTACACAGGTACATGTACATGTAGTAGAGTCATGACCATGAGTTCGTTCGGCGGTTTGACGCTATAAGGAGCGTGTACCTGTTCTTTGCATATGGTGCCACATTACTTTATGTATGTGCGTGTAATTTGCTCCACCCATAGGTACATGTACTTACATGTACATGACGTTGCAAAGAGCTCGTGGAAGTAGATGAATGTTGGATGACACTGTCACGCCTGCTGGGTTATAAAGTGTATGCATAATCTGGCATGTGTCAACGAGGAAGGTATTACAGGGTGATCACGGGATATAGAGTGCCATTTAAATTCCCGTCCAAAGTCGGCAAGAATAAGCATAAAGGGGCCAGAACTTTAATAAAATCGTAGAGTCCTTTGCTGGCTACCAAGGGGCTGATATATACCGAGTGATAATTTGTGATTAGCTCCAGCTTACACATTCGTCATTCGACACAGCAACACCTGGATAGCCATAGGATCCCAAACCGAATAGTGACCGTGTTGAATTCTCTAGCCTAGATCTCATTGCAACTCGTGCATTTAACCAGCAATTCAGACCATCAAGCAAAAGACTACCCCCCGTCACTAGCCCCTCTCCACATATCCTGTCACTTTACCCAGCAACGAAGCCCTTCCGCGATCTCGGAGTCTCGCGGATACCTTATATATTCGGCCCCAGTAAGAAGGGAAAGCATGCAAGATCAACTCCATCCCACTCCCCCAGTCTCGGAGCCAAGCCGTATAGTTCTTGATCCTAAATTAATTAGGTAGCTTGTATTCAGATACTGTCTAGGCCTTTGTCCCATTTTCAAGATAGCGGCCAAACTCCTCTGGATACATGTATCTACCGTCCCTGAATATCTACTGTCAGTAAGGCCGACTGACTAGCCTTAACGGAACAAGTCTCACCTTCTCAAGCGTACGCCCGAAAGCCCTGCACGCCACTTCCCATCAACACAAGTCGCCACGCCGACTACTGGCGGGTCCTCTCTTAATTACCCCACCTGTACACACCCCCCCCCCCCCCCCGCAAAAGCCTTCCTATACCAACAAGGAACAAAAAAAAATATGAAAGGATAGAACAAATATAACAATAAATGAAGATAGCAGGAAAATCCAATAAACTCCATTTTTCATGCCTACCACAGCGCCCCCTATCCCAGACATGAAAAAACGCCCAACGCCTAGTGCTGTTACTTTCTTCATACATGCACGGCGCATGGCCGTTTCCACCGAAAGAACTTTATTCCCTGCACGGATTTTCCCCCACACTCGACTAAAGAAATGGACGACGAAGATGGGCAAACAAATAAATATACACAGCAGTTCATGAAAAAGACCCGGAATTGAACGAAGAAAATGCCAGTCTCTTGGCAATTGACGGTAAGAGTAAAGGAAAATTTGACCTGAGAAGGATAGTTCAATTCGTACCAAAAAAAAAAAAAAAAAGCCTTGCCTCTTTTGGATCATATTTAGCTCGTCCAACACATGTCTCGTTCAAAGATACAAAAACATACGCTACCAATCCCGTTCCAGCCAAGTTTTTATTTGCGATAACCTATTTCCCACCTTCGCCATCCACCGCGGTCGGTTGCGGCTGAGTCTGTTGTGGTTGTTGTGGCTGTGGTGGAGGAGCATGTTGCCCACCCTGGTGCTGCTGTTGAGGATGTCCGCCATAATTGTTCCCCCTACCTCCAGGAGGATAATGTCCTTGTGGGCCATGATAATACGGTTGCGGCGGCGGCGCCCTCCCTGATGTGGAAGAGGTTGTCCACGCATCATACCCACTGACCCATCGTTAGAATAAGCACCAATTACAAAGTTGGTCGGAACCATCATTGGGATCCCTATCCCACCGCCACCGTTCCTCCCGCCACGAGCTCCCCCACTGTGTGTAGGCGTATTCCCCGTCCGACTCCGCTGGAGTGGATATGACGATAGGCTCGTATCGGGAGCCGAAGGGGCGGGAGAAAATGCGGCAAGCGAAGACATAAGAAGTGGAGAAGCAGCAGAGGGTTGAGGAGACAAATGCGAATTGCGGATACGTGGGGATGGGACAGCAACAGGAGAGGCAGCACGACTAACACTAAATTTGGCCGCAGACGAAGAGGGGGCAGGAGGCAGAGAGACAGTGGATTGTGGACGCTGGGGTAACCAATTTTGGCCTTGGAGGAATAACTCACTTTGTTGCTGTCCTTGCCCATATATCGGGCCACCTTGTCCAGGCTGCATTGCATATGGTATCATTTGAGGTCCCGCAGGAGTTCCCTGCGATGACCCTTGGTGCATCATCATAGGAGCACCTCGTCCAGGACTTGGGTATCCTTGTGAACTTGGAGGTGGCGGGGGAGCAGTGCCATTATGCATATAAGCATGAGGTTGTTGAGGTGAATACATTTGGTGGGGTATAAATTGTCCAGGATACGGGATATGTTGAGGTCCAGGTACCATCATCTGTCCAGCACCGGCAGGACCTCTGAATCCACCGTAGAACTGGCCAACGAATGGAGCACCCGGGCCACCTGGTACATATTGTCCCTGCGGATGGGTAGTATACATAGGTATTTGTGAGTGATGGGCAACTGGAGACTGCTGGTAAGGCGCAAGGGTTGCGTTGTGTAAGTTTGGTGAAGGCATGACAGATGGTGGGATCTGTCGGAGGTGCTGATCTTGCTCGTAGTGCTGGGGCGGGATCGCTAAATGATGTTGAGGCATATGTGAATGGTGTTGGTGCGATACATGTGGGGGTTGGTTGGCATGAGCCATATGGGGGGGACCCTGTGGGTGGTGATGTGGTTGATGGGGGGCAATATGTGGAGGCTGTGGAGAGTGCATGGTACTCGACGCGGAAAGCTCTGTTCTCGCAAACATCTGCACATACTTCTTTTCTTCATTGCCTTCGGCTGTTGGCCAGGTTGGAATGGTGTGGAAAGGCATGTCGATGAAATCATTGGAGTTTCCTTTCAAGTACTTCGGATCTGTCTGAACAGGTCCATTCTTCTGTCCCGCCTTCATCCTTTTGATTGGATTGAAGGAGTTTTTAATAGACTTCCTTTCCTGTTCTGGTTTCGGCTTTTTGTTCCCAAAAAATAGGGATGGGCTTGTGGCCCGAGGTGAGGCATGTGCGGGAGCAGATGTGGTAGGACTTGGGGTAGCAGTAGTGGATGGCCCAAATGTAGGCGTGAAGGTGGCTGCACTGGGATTGGGTCTGAACTCCACCGCCTTTGCAGCCGCTCTCATACTCATAGATGCAGGAGATATGGACTTAGGAGCAATGGGAATATTTCCTGCGGCAGGACCGGTTGGGATATTCTGGGGGTGTTCAGGAATAGGTACCGGTGAACGTACATGAGGAAGCTGTTGTCCCCCTTTCTTCGCATCTTGGATTTGTTTTAAACGAGCGCTAAGAAGAGGAGCGGGATGCTGGGCTCTCTGTGCCTGACGTTGCGGCGGAAATCCGTTTAGAAGTTGCTGTTTCACCAATTCGTGTTCAGTCGGATTCTTCGCTGCAAAGCTATTTGGAGCCGGCTCTCTTGTTCCAGGCAGTTTGGCCGTTTGTGAGGTAGTTGAAGTCGTTGGCGAGACTACCTTAGCAACATTGGCCTTGGCCTTTTCAACAATCTCGGCTTGTTTCTGTTTATCTTTTGCCAATATTGGTACCAAGTCCTGAGGAATTTCAGTCCTAAGAGTGAAATTTACAGAGAATTTCTTAAGCTCCTCTAGTTTTGAAGCCCTATCCTTCTGCTGTAAATCGGCTTTTTTCCTCATATAGCGTTCTTTCTCCATATTAACAAATTGCTTGAAGTCCTGTGTGAGTTCGGGTATTGGAGGTTGACTTGTTGAAGAGACCTCAGACGCTCCTAGCATTCTCTTAGGTGCGATGATCTCAGGAAGAGTCGACTTCTCTTTTGGTTTATTAGTAGCATCCTCTGGTTTTGTGGCTTGAGGCAGATTAATTGTTGGAAGAACAGCTGTTGGAAGGACAGCTCTTGGTGCCTGCGGCGCCTGCTGCTGTTTCTGCTGCAAAGTTTCTGGACGAACCAATTGGGAGGATATTATGGCGGGGTCGTGGGGGGCGCCAGGAACAGTCGGATGCCCCGTAGGCGCCCTCAAAGCTGGCGGCGTATATCGTGAGTTTATGGCCTGTGTGGCCTGCGCTTGGGCAACACCACCGGCCACAGGATTACGTTGAACAGCACCGTATCTTCGAAGAACGAGAGAAACAAATGTCAACTTATTGGATTAGGGTTCAGTTGAGAGGCCAACCAACATACCTGTCTTCTTCATCAATTCCGCTATCATCTCCGAGGGCGATATTTCTTTCCTCAGCAACGTGAGGATTCATGCTTGCATTGATGGTTTGACCCTCTATTTCTCTAGCAATTCTTGCTGCTGCTGCTTCACGTTGCTGGTAAAGTGGGTGAGCACGATCTAGCTTCGTGGTATAAATATCTTCGTTAAAATCTGATTTAAGACCAAAAAGACGTTCATTTACTTCGAACTGATTCCATCCTTGACCCTGGGAACCAGCCTGGGAACCAGCGGCGGACTCCTCGAGAGAGAGGTTATTTGTAGCTTCATCAGGCTGCCACCTATGGAGCTCTCGTTCCCGCATGGTAAGATTTCCAGAGATATCAGCATCGGTCCTAAAAGTACCTAGATTGACATCAATAAATATCAGTAAACTAGAGGAATAGAAAGAAAAAAACAGAGATGTCTACAATGCAGATTTACCATTCTGATGATTCGCGTGGCCTTCAGCCTCGCCCAACGCGATCTTTTCTGCGAAGATATCTACGAGATCTCTAGGCTCGAAAATCATAGTTTTCTCTGGGCCACCACCAACATGATCTCCTTCTTCCAGCCCATCTCCACTATCACCCAAAGGAGCTCGAACAAGCTTGACCCACTTCATCACAACACCGATATCATGGTTCTTTGCGTCAGCTCCTACAAGAACACCAGTGTAACGGGCACTAGTCTTGAGAGTTATAGTAATTGTTTTACCCTATTTGCAATTGTGGATGCGGGTCAGCAAATACTACTAAGATGTTACTACAAGAGCACTACCGAGCTCCCATGGAATGTTTTTACTTCGGGGGACTTTAGGTCAAGATAACCGGTACTTCTTATAGTCGAAATAAAAAGTATTTAAAAAAATCCTGGGGTAGAACCTACAATTAAGTTTGCAAGTAAAAAAAGTGTCCTATCATGCATATGCTTATCATGAGTATCGGATTCACCTCCGGGAGGTATAGTTGGGTTCCGCGCCTTCATCGCGGCAGCCTGACTTGGTGTAGGCGATGATGAGGTAACGGCGTTTGTAGAACCCCCATTATATTTTTGATGTGTATTCGCTTGCCAAGGTCCCCGGGAAGCATTCCGCCTAGAGATCTATTAGCACTAAATTATATCATAAAGCTCAACATAAAGTTTTCAAAGCTCCGTATAAATGACGTAGGTTGTAAAACAATGAGATGGATATTAGGATAAATGAAAACCAAAGATGGGAATTAGAAAAGCAAGGAAGATAGAGCGATGCTTGCACATAGGTTGGGGAATACAAATAAATCGGGAGATTGGCAACAGGTACAATGTGGGGTTGTGGGGCGAGCCTCGACAAGGCCGAATATTCTCCCAAGAACAACGGCCAAACATAATTATACGGGATATAGTGTTTCAATCTCAGAATCGCTCAAACCAGTACCCAACTTAAGGGTTAAAGTCTCGAAAGAAGTGATAGCCGCTTACCTTTGGGCATCAATGGGTGATTGAACTGACCTCCTGTTAGTATTTCCGCCGTTTGAAGTTCCAGAAATTGTGCTCTTCAACTGAGGCCTTGCTGCAGAGGCCGAGGAAGCAGACGAAGCACCTGCGGAGGCAGGACCATTGGTCGCTGTAGGAGCGGTTGCCGTAGTGGCCATGTGTGATGTAACGGGTAGTAAGTAACTATTCGTGAAGCTCGTAAATGGGCGAGTAGTGATGAGAACCAAGCTTGCGGGAAGAAAGGTTGAAGAAAAGGAAAGTGCAGCAGATTCGTTGTCAGTAAGGAGGCGAGTCTGAAGGTACTTTTGCTGCTATTCTTCCCCTCTAGAAGAGTCTAGCTTTTGAAGTGGATGGCGGGGTGTAGAGGGGGGGCTAGATAGATAGGATAGTAGAGAGGAAGGTGTAGGTGAGGTGGTGGGGGGGGGGGGGGGGAATATGGGGGAGGTTTAGATGGAGGGATGTCAGAGGGTGCGAGCGAGAGACAAGTTTGTTCTTCTCGTTTATGAGTTCCTCGTGCAAAGGCGACAACAACAACAAAAAAAAATTCCACGAGCTATCCAAAAGGAACGGCAAAAGGAAAGAAGGGCGGAAAGGTGAAAGGGACCTTAGTAGGAAAGAGAGCTTTGAGCGTAGTCTGGGGGCCGATGAGCGCAGCAGCTCTTTCTACCATACCAAGCAACACCAAGCAGTAGTAGCAGCAGCAACAGGTTGGTTTCACCTCTCACCTGCCAGTGATATTTTTATTTTTTTCCACTGAGTCGAGCTTCCTCCAGGTGAGACGATTCCTGCCAAGCAACACACAACCGTTAACCAAGCATCTGATACGTCCCACCATAAATTATCAGCACGAGCAGTAAAACTATTTCGAAAGCCCTCCTATGTATCTCTAACAATCTGCAGGAAAAATCACTTCCTGGAATATTGTTCTTGCGAAAATTTATGTTAAGTCTAGTGCATACGCATTTCAACACCTTGTCTAGCTGGTGTTCATGAGCGCCAAAATTCGATGTTAGCTGCTGAGTAGGCATAATAATGCTGAATCATGTGTGCTGGCTGGGCAAATAAACAAGCTGTCGGTTTGTTTGTGTGGGTCATCTGATTGTGTGAATGCTATATGGGCAATATTTCGGACTGAAGATCCCTCTATCGCTTCGTGTGTAGATATTGGCATAAATATTATAATTACATATTCCAAACTTAATCATCTTAATCAACCATAAATAGAAAGAGCTTCAATAAAAACCTCCTGGTGAATGATCGATCTGTAAGGGGTGCATGAGATATCCAAGGAGCGCATGAAGTGATGGCCCAAGATTTGCGATCCTGACCACGCTAGAAACTTCTGAAATAAGTTCACATAAAAGCTGATACTCAGCAACTGGTTCACAATCGATATCAATCTCGTACCTGGCTGAAGCCTCAGTAAATAGTATACGACCCAGCTACATGCATGTACGGAGCTACATACCTATCGATATAAAATACCCAATCGCCTATAATCAAAAGCCATAAGAGTGCCCCGGGCTCTTAGGTCTCATTTCCCTTATCATACCGTTCTATCCAAGCTGCGGGCGCAGCGCCAGATGTGCTGAAATAAGGTAAGTCACGAACTTTCCTGGTATACCGGTATGTAAAGTACACCAAGGTAGGGAAACATTGGTCCCTGCAGATGCAGTCGGTAAACACGAAACTAACCCAACACCATGTCCCAGTAACTAAACCTCAACAGCCACCACGACCACCATCCCCCACTAACCAACCCCCCACACTCTCTCTGGCTCCCCCTCCCTGGGTACCAGCTATCTAACCCCTTTCCTCCAACATCTAATGCAATCAGGCTCCCATCGCTCGGGCCTTACAAGATCTCTCACCCCAACATCATCGTCATCGGCATCACCATCACATTCACCTACTTTTAGTAACACCTCAATGTCCTCCCAGAACTCAACGGGTTCAGCCAGGAGTCCCCGACAGCAGCGATCTAGAATAAGTGTGAGCTTCATTTTCCTGATTCGATTCATTCCCTTTACAAGGAATCTTTAGAGTATTTTAAATACTACTTCAGTAATGCTCGTCACAAGTATTTTGCTGACTCGAGCCACAGCCGTCTCAACATCTATCTACAATCGAGAAATCTGTTACTCAACTTCTCATCGCAACTAAACAACTTCTTGAAACTCTCACCGCTTGGTCACGGCAGCAGGCCACTGAGGCGGAGGTCTCAGATGTATATGTCCGTCTTGGATCCGAATTCAATTTGGCGTGTCGAGCATTTACAGCCATCGGAGTAGATACAACCGATTTGGGAAATGTACCGGATGCGCTAAGAACGATATTAGAGAGCACTCTAAGTCAAGATGCGAGTCCTCAGAGTCTGGAAGTCTACTTACCGAGGATCAGGGAGATCATTATCAACCTCCTTCATGGACTGAAAAGAAAACAGCAAGGTTTACGGCAACATAAAAGTGGGAGGAATACTGCAGAACTTTCGGGGCCTGCATCTATAGATAGAGGGCCCCCACCTTCACAGCAGCAAGCCCAAACCACGAGGGCAAGAAGTGGAGATGGTTTAGAGGAGGGTACTCCTCCACGCACATCATCTTTACCCGGCGGGACAACAGTTCGGGCTGCATCACCGCCAATTCCACCTTATCCTACCTCGATGAGAAGTTCGGTTTCAACAACCGGGTCTCGAAGCTCTCACCAACATTCCGCGTCTATATCATCAAACCTTGCCTCGCCTCCTCTAAATTCAGCTGAAATTCAGCCTACTCCCACGGTTCAAGAGCCCACTAGGAATTCTATACCTCAATATATCCCCCCGCCCCCGCCCCCACCTCCTGCCCAAGATGCTCTTGCAGCCCTGCAGCGAGAAGATCCGTTACAGCGACGAGCATCTCGCCGGTATTCTGCCTATCAAATTGCTAAACTCACTGGGACATCACCGAATGGGGTAGCAATGTTACCAACCAGCAGCAACCCATCTGCCATACCCCGAAATAGTCGTGAATCAAAGGAATCTTTGGATGCTGTTCGAGTAAGGCGTTCATACACGGCCAAATCGATCCCCCGAAGCAATGAAACCTCACCCATGAGAAATGTAAACCGGATATCAGAAGAGCGTGAGCTTGAACCTGATTCGCCCATAGCCCAGGTGTCTGAGAAGAAAAACGGACCCGCGGTTCCTGCTAAAGATGATGAACCCGTTCGAAACCAGCCCTCTCTTGGACTTGAAACCGGTGCATTCCCTCCGCCGCCTCCGCAAAAAAACGATGTATCAGAAGATGTGCCTCTCAGCGCCCCAGTAAAAGAGCCTGAGGCGGAGGTTGTTCCACCATCACCCAAGCCTATTGCTCGAAGGGATTCCTCGCCACCTCCTCCTACAAAAGACCTTACTTTATTTTTACAACTTGGTCGGTCAATCAAGAAAGTCCTTGTTGCCGATGGGGTGGATGAGTTATCTTTGACCTCGTTACGTCTTCTGTTTATTTCAAAGTTTAATTACAGCCCTCCCTCTGGTGAAGACTTTCCTGAAATTTACCTCCAAGACCCTGTCTCTGGGGTACGATATGAACTGGAGGATTTAAGAGACGTAAAGGACAGGGCAGTTTTATGCTTAAATATTGAAGTTCTTGATGAGGTTAAACGCCATATCGATGACGGAATAGGTGGTTTAAAGAAACTGGTAGACGGACTGCGAGGGTCTATGGAAGGACAAAGTTTGCAAATCACTAGAGTAGCAGAACGCCAGGAGGAGGCCGCCAAAAAAATTGCCGAGCTTTCTGTGGCTGCTCCTGTTTCTACCCCGATAACTTTGTCACCACCTTCGTTTCCTAGTTCATCAGCACCAGGGGCCACTACGAAGCATGATAACACTGCTCAGTTAATCGAACTTCGAGACCTCAGGAAAGATTTGGCAGTGTTGCGGCAGGTCTATTCCACCTTTGTCGCTGATATCAATACATCCATGTCAACTATCAAAACTAAAGCCAGCGCCGTGAAAACTGTTGCTGCTCAGCCTAAGCTAGGTCCGAATGAAGGTCGCACCTACGTTGAAAATGGGAAAAAGACTCTTGGGACGGATGCAGATGCACTAGTAAATAGGGTTGACGACCTTCAAGATACAGTGGAAGATCTACGGAAAGATGTTGTACAGCGTGGTGTCCGTCCTCTAGCACGCAATCTCAACCAAGTCAAGAAGGAGATCGCGCAGGCCAGGGCAGAGCTCAAGAAGATGGCAGACTACATCAAGCGAGAGAAGCCTGTGTTTAGGAGAGTTTGGGAAAAGGAGGTTGAGCTTGTCTGCCAGGAACAAGATTTCTTCAATATGCAAGAAAACCTAATCGAGGACCTACAAGATGACCTAGACAAAGCATCACAGACGTTCCAGCTCGTCGAACAGTGCACTGAGCAGCAGTTCAAAAACGGTTCCGTCCCCGGCTCAGGCGCATTAAGATCGATTAGCAGAGGCCTTCCTGTTGGGTTGGTACATCCTGATGATAGGCTCGACCCAAGCGAAGCCAAGGACTCCATTCTCAGCGAAGTTCGTGCCCTGCAACCGAATCACGAGAGTAGATTGGAGGCGATCGAGAGGGCAGAAAAACTTAGACAGAAGGATCTTGAAGGGAGAATTCCAGAATTCCAGAAGGAACTTGGCGAATTTGTGGAAGAAAACAAGTTGAAGAAGGCGGGCGGCGTAGATGAGGTAGAAAGGCTACGTACGGCAAGGGACGAGAAAGTCAGGAAAGAGGTTTGGGAACGGAAGAAGCAAATGGAGGAGGAGGAGCGGGCCAGGGAGGAAGAGGGAAGCGATGAGGAAGAGGAAGAGGATGAATCCGAAAATGGCGAGTGATAAGCTACTGCGGACAGCCTGGAGGGCATGAAACTCGGAAGAGTATAAGCAACTAGGTTCATTTTTTGTTTAAAAATCGAAGGTTGTATGTGCCTTTATTGTGGGATATGTCCAATCCATGGGGAAATGTTTTTATTTAGCGCCTTCTACCCATCGTAATAGGCTATGTGCACGCATTGCTTTCTCACATACCTATTCTCATTTCATGGAGAGTCTCTGGTTCTCGTCCTACTCCTCTTTTTATCTGTCTAATATCTCTTAACTTACGTGTTTGTCTTATTGCACTTTCGTGGTTTGGGCAGGTCATCTTTTTCTTTATTTTTCTTTTCTTTTTTTTGGTCTCGGGATTGGAGCGAATGCGGGTTGGGATAACGGGAAGGAATAACGATAGTTCTGAAATTCATACAGTAAATAAATGGTTTCATTAAGACGTACTGCCTAATAATTATCTCTCCATTTGTTGCCATCGAGTGATCAACTATGAAGTACATCTACTCCACCAATCCATTTAGTAAACAACCTCCAATGAAAACTCGTGACAAGCATCATTAATCTGAACAAGGTGGATAGTCAATTCATGAGCTACATGTATCTATTGATTGATAAAAAAAAATAGATATTGAGTACGGGGGGCTACAGAAGTACCATGTGCCCCTCAAGTCAGCGATTTCGCAATGAATCGTCTGACGAAGTCGTGGTGCCTATGGCTTTGCTATATGTACTTCCTCACTAAGCCTTCTAAACACGCAGTTTCTCCGAAAACCTCTTTAACACTACCACTTCAGCCGCAGAACTGACCTTGGGTGATATTGAATGGCCAGTCACAAAGTTGGTTATTTTAGCGCTTTGCCCTAGGTATCCACTACTAGGGCACTGAAGCGTCAATATAGCCTTGATGGAAGACAAGCAACCACAAAAATACTATATTGATGAAGGGTCTTAAGTTCGGATCAGAATCCTATTGATCTCTAGACCATATTACTACAGTTTTCTGGTTTGGAAGGTGTTTACCGTAACCCCGTCATTGCCCCGTCATGACCATTGGCGTTTGACAATCCATGTGAAGGCAGTAGGTACATTCACTTAAGCAGCTATAGGCCTGCAAAAGATAGAAAGAGAAAGTGCAAAGAGTGTAAAGAACCCCTAAAATCCCTTCCTAGGTTACATGAAGTCATCATAAAAGTCAGCATCCCTTTTATCATTGGAATTCTCCTCCAACGCATCCTCTGTAAAAACGTCGTCATAGGCATGGTCCTTCTGCCACGCCTTCTCCTTTCTCTCCTTCATCACTCTAGCCTCTTCCTTCTTCTATACCACTGTTAGTCCGAAAAGCCCCCTCTCCCTCAAAAAGAAAAGAAAAAGAAAAGGAGAAAACAGCCCCTACCCTTTCTAGCATCAATTTCTTCTCCTTGTTTCTGATAGTCTTGTCTCTCTCCTCCCTCTCCGCCGCAAGATCGGGGAACTTCTCGGTCTTAGTCTTATTAAGTCGATTGATGATGGCGTTCGTGCGGGCCTCAACAAGGACTTTCTTGACCTTCCGTTGGTCCTTGAATCCAACCTGACCGACGGCCATAGACCCGTCTTTTTTGAGATTGGACCAGGGAGTGTAGACTATATTAACATTGTCCTTTTTGTTCCCTACAACCCATTATTGCTTAGCGATAGGACAATAGAGTGAAACCGACGAGGACTAGTGTAGACATACCCTCAATTGAGTTTGCCTTTGTGAGCTGGCAGCAATCGACCAGTAGCTCTGGGCTAATATCTTCCCAGCTCTGCCCTTCTTTGAGTCGTAGGTAAATATGCGCCGATGAGAGCTTATCCGCGTGGAACTGTGGCCATCAGTCTTATATCCTGTCTAGTACCGCTGGGTGCAGAAATTGCGTACCCTAAGTACTGCGTTAACCTACATCTGAGTGAGAGCTTTATAAAGAGAGGTGATCGTGAGAGTAACGTACCAAAGATCTTCATCCCATCCATACTTAATCAACTCTTCATCTACTCTTGGTCAGCCCTACACAACTTTCGTCCAAGCTTCGGCGGCGCAGGGCGACTTACTCTCAACCTTATCCTTTCCCATGTAAATGTACGCGGCGGGCTCAACCACGTTTGACGTAAAGTAATACACCATCTTTAATTCTCTCCGCGCAAAAACAAAAAACAAAGAAAAATGGTGTTTGTGGAAGCTGTTGGGCGAAGTTCAACTTTGGCGGGGTAAAAAGCACTTATCATGCGGCTCAACTTGCAACACGTGAAAAACGTGAAATATGCCTGCCGGTCCTATTCTTAAACACATACATATTGCGGAACTAAACGTAAGGTACATGTACCTACATGTATGCAGTATTGAAATAATTGAAGGTTATTATCTACATCCAAAAGGGCCCAGGATGCATGCACCCCGCTCCCAGTTTCTCGTATTTACTGTTAACTTTTTTTGAACCATGAGCAAATCTATTTAACATTTATAACCAGCCTCCGTCAAACTCGCTCTAAGGGCATCCAGTGCCTTGTTGATATGTCCCAAATCCCCATTCATAACACTCACACCCATGTGCCCAAATCTAAAATATTTAGTCGCAATCTCCTTGTGCAGACCTCCTGCGAAGATAACACCCTTTGCCAATAGCTTTGGTAAAAGATCTGGCGCACCCACACCCTCAGGTAGGTATATAGCCGTCATACCATTCGCCTGGCACTCGGGACTTTCGGCAAGTTGCTTCAGTCCCATTTCACCGATGGCCTTCTTAATTACTCCACTAACTTCTTTATGCTTCGCAAATCGCTCTTCCATGGGAATGGAGGTAATTTGCTTGAGGGATGTGTAAAGACCGCGGATGAGTTGAGGAGAGGGAGTGGCAAAGTAAGAAGGTTTCTTAGCCTCGTAATTACGCATTATTGGTAGCCAGTTTGCGAAAGATGCGAAGTATGAGCTTGGTGGAGTTGATCTATTGTTGAATCTTTCAATTGCTTTCCCGCTGACCATGAGTATACACAGTCCAGCCGGAACACCAATTGCCTTCTGCGATGCAGTGAGAACAACGTCGATGCCCCAGTCATCGAAGCGGATCTCCTCGCAACCGACAGAACATACACCATCCACTATGATAAGTGTATCCGGTGAAACCCTATGTACCAGCTCGGCGATAGCTTTGACATCTGAAAGGACACCGGTTGATGTGTCGGTGTGAGTGATAGTGATAAGTTTGTAAGACTTTTCTTTTAACGCTGCTTCAATCTCGGCGAGAGAGGGACGGGAGCCGATGGGAGCTCTTAGTTGAGTAGGGTTTGCGCCATAGGTAGCAAAGCAGGTGGAGAATGAATCGCCAAAGTATCCTATTCATGCTCGCTCGATATCAGATAATCCCGGAACAACATGTTTGGTTGTTTGATAATGGAGAACATACCTGTGTGTAGGACTAAGACATCTTCTCCCCTCTCCACCAAGTTTGCCGCCACGAAATCCCACCCCAATGTCCCAGATCCAGAAACAGCGAATGGCTGCGCTGAGGGATCGGTGCTCAAGAACAGTTGCCTTAGCATCGACAATGTCTCGCCGAATACATTTACAAAGGGTGCACCGACATGGCTCTCACTGAAACAAACGAAGAAAACGGACTATTAGCCACCAAGCCAAGATCGAGTGAGTCACGGTGAATGAATTGGAGAGCGACATACCTAGGATGAGACAACGCCATAAGAACATCATCATCAAATTCGATGGGGCCAGGAATAAGAAGGGTAGGGTGGGCAGCTTGGGAAGACATTCTGAATGGTGGTGCAGTAGTTGTGCAAGTTGTGGGAGGACAAGACGCAGGACGAGCAGGAGGAGGGGATGCAGAGGAGAGATGCCTGTTGATGAGGGACAGGCGGGGGGAGGATCGTGCAGCCAGTTTGAAGGAGAGTGGCAATAATGGCCGGGCAAGGCAATGTGGGGGGATGCTTAGGGCAAAGAAGGGGGGGGGCTACGGGGGTGAACCGAGGCTATCTGGGTAGGTTGGTGCGAGTGTGTGTGGAGAGGGGCGGATTGGCGGGGTAGGCGGGAAGCGCGTAGAGTACCTGGACGGGTGGATGGATGCTTGCGTTGAGAGGTGTGTGTGGGTGTGTGGACAGTGCGTGCGTGCGTGAATGGAATGTTTGAGGGCGAGGAGGATCTTGCACCCCTAAAAGCCGACTCGGACTCCGGTGACGACATCCGAAAACCCCGAAGAGCCTCACAAGCTGTAACACAGCTAACAGAGCTAGGGTGGAGTGTGTGCCGGGTAACCATCCAACTGCGAACCCCACAATCAGACACGGGAGCTCAGGGACAAGAGCTCAGGAACAGACAGAAATTGACGAATTAGGTACGTTTAGTGAGTTGCAGAGCTATCTCCTTTTATAGAAATTGTCAACAATGGCTGACTTAATAAAAAAAGAAGCAACTACTCTAAACTTCTTCCCATCACTCCATTCGCAATCTACGTACATTTCCAATCAATGGCATCTCGTCTAGTTCTTTGCATCGGGGACCTCCATATCCCAGACAGAGCTCCAGTAGTCTCCCCCCACTCCAAGCTTGTTGGCGGAATAGCTTCTAATCTTGTGTTCAGGATATCCCGGCGAAGGTCTTACCCTACCCCCAAGCTTCTCAAACTTCCCCGACTCAGACCAGCCATCTAAGACCAGTAGCTGACACCCCCCCTCTAGTTTCGTAAACTTCTCTCTCCCGGTAAAATCGGTCAGATCCTCTGTCTAGGAAACTTGACCGACAAAGAAACATACGACTTTCTACGTTCAACTGCGCCTGACCTTCAAATTGTCAAAGGTGATTTCGACGTCGACGCAACAAACCTTCCCTTATCGAAAGTTGTAACCCACGGTAATCTGCGCATTGGGTTCACGCATGGGCACACTATTATCCCACAGGGTGATAGTGATAGTCTGTTGATCGAAGCTAGGAGACTGGACTGCGATGTACTAGTTTGGGGAGGAACACATCGATTCGAAGCCTATGAGCTGGAAGGCAGGTTTTTCATCAATCCAGGTAAGTAGATCACTGAAGGAAATCAGGGAGAAATAAGGATCTAGCGCGGGCGACTGATAGAAAATGAATAGGCTCGGCAACAGGAGCCATATCGGGCGGATGGGTCTCTGAAGAGGAGCCTATTATTCCAAGTTTCTGCTTGATGGACGTATGTTCTAATCGTTTTGCCGTAGTTTTTCATGCTGATACTAAATTACAAATTCCTTTTATAGGTTCAAGGCAGTGTCCTAGTCCTCTATGTCTACCAGCTCCGCACCGACGAAAAAGGCAATGAGAGTGTCGGAGTAGAAAAGGTCACCTTCAGAAAGAACGGCGAGACCGCGTCATAGAAGAATGGATGATTTCTTGGTGATATGGTGAAGGACTTACCATGTATGAGGGTTGAAAAATTAGACTTCTAGTAATAGTGCTAGGTATTATGTTTGTGTGAGCGAGTACTGTGAGTGGCCTGTCATGGTTGAGACAGGTCTGTATATTTAACATTCCTTCCTTTTTTATTATTATTAGTTTTACGGCAAAATCTGAATACCCGGCGTATGGTAGAATTGGTGTTCGAGATTTATCGGATCCCAGTTGGCTTTGAGTATGATAATCATCAATTAGTCTAGATCGCTGTACGCTAGTTGTCACGGGCTATCACTCGGCCTCTCCAATGCAAATTTTTATTGCTGAATCCCAATCATTGACACGTAAAACATTGCATGTAACACTTCAAGATATCATCTCAGAGCAACAATATTAATGCTTCTTGTTGGGAATTACATGTAGATTGTTATAAGTTTATGCCCAATTTCAAAGGAAATTTGTGAACTTCAGTGATATCCCAGTGCTTAATGCAATATAGATGAATAACGCCTGTAAAATCATTGACTTACATTCCCAATTAAAATCCTTGATTATGACCTCCCATTCCCATCGCCCCATAATTGGCTCCAGGGACAAGATTTTTATGATCTGCTGGGTTGGCAGCAGCTTCATAATTCGCTACCACCGCCTCCTTGCGCAATTCCGTCCACGTTCCCTTGAATCCTAGATAGCTCAACTTTGTGACTTCTTCGTTCTCGTCATCATCGTCGCTAGCTTCTTCCGAGAAGTTCTTCTCAAAAAATAGTGTTAGAGAGCGGGTATTCTGAAACAAGGCCCTCTTGACCGGCATCTCAATAACGTCTCCGGTTAGCGGAAGCTCGAGTGTTTGTGTAGCCTTCAGATCGGTAGCGGAGGAGAAATCGAGATCGTCGCGATTAATAAAGATTTTCACCGTCTTGGGGGCAGTCGACCCCGGGGGTGAGCGTATGATGATCGAGTGTAATTTCACAGTGCCCGTAAAACTTTTGTTTCATTTGAGTCAGTACAAAGTTCGCTTTGAAGGAACGAAGATTTACGAACGGGATAAACATGAGCAGCTGCTCGTCAACATCACTCTCAAGAAAGACGTTGCTATCAAGACGCTCATCCCAAGTTTTTTTGACAATTCTCATGCCAGCGCCTGGAACAGTTTCATTGAGGGTGGTGATTTTGTCAAACTCGATGTGCTGGTAAAGAGAAGATTGGAGTGCGGGAGTTAAATCATCTGTATATAAATTTGGTTTATTAGCTAGCTATATCTAGATGACCATGGTGCATTGGGGTAGGGGCTAAGCTTGCCAGAGTGGTCATGGCCCCCGGGACCATGGGAATGGGAATGATCATCATGATTGTGTTCATCATGACAAGAGTGGGAATGTGAATGATCAGCCATGATATTGTTTTCGAATGTTTTATCTCTGCTGATTTGGGTGGTTTGAGTGGAGAGTTTTCAATCAAACGAATCTACAAAATGTGGGGTACAGGGTCTGATGTCATCAGCCACAGCTATTTATTTTCATGCAGGTCATCCCGCGTGGAGCTAAGTATGCTTAGCGATGCGCGCCCTGAAGTATGCAAAACAAGATGAGGCTTCCTATGGATTGAATTCTCTAATACTCTAGAGCTGAGTACCTACAGCCGTACCAGTGGACCAATTCATGAGATACTGGCCAATAAGCTTCCGACGGTTATTGAAAGACCATAATTTCTGAAATATACGAATGTTTTCCAATATCAAACAAGAACCTTTATTTTAACTACATATCAAAATAGCTGTTTGATTTATCTCATCCAAAAGTAAGTTTAGTATAATCCAAGTTAACTATCAGCACGAAAGTGCGTTAAATCTACCGTATACTCCATACTCCAGGCCCAATGCGTTCCTAAGAAACCCCTCTAAGAAAATGCTGGTGGTTGATATTCGTCATCTCATTACACCAATCTATACGCATTCAAATCACTTTTGCGGAAGTACTGGAATTCTGACCAAAGTCTGCGGCATTAGAACACCGTTCTCGTCTCGTCGTAGTCCGTCATGTTCTTCCTGTTTTTCTTGTTTTGGCTTCGGCGCAAATGGGTTGTCCTCTTCGGCTTCTTCTTTAGGTTGGGGAATTTTCGCTGCGGCTCTGTCAGTGTCAAGCTTGTAACGCCCCCAAGATAAGATATTACAAGAAGCCATAGCAATTGCCCTGAGAACATTATGCCAGTTCGACAAGACCGCAGCAACAGCTTTATAAATCTATATATCAGCCTGGAATAACCTCAGTGTCTATATCAGGCTGGGTGGGTAGGTACCCTCGGTTCCGTCAGTCAACGTTGCTAGCTTTCCCTCCAATTCTTCCATCTGCTTAGCTAGCCCAGCGGATAGATCTCGTAGCGCCATCAAGTTCTCAAGTTCCTGCTTCTTTTCATTTATCCTCGCCACCAGGGCTGGTGACCCCGAGGCGGAGGTTGAAGCAGAAGGTTGGCGAAAGTGCTGGGAGTAACGATTTGGATAGTTCGACATTGCTTCCAACAGTTGATCAATGGGAGGTGTACGCTCTCTTGTTTCTTAAGAGATACTTCTTTGTATTTGTAGAGTATTTCCGCCTTTATGCAGGGGTTTGAGCGTAGTAAGTGAGGGGGTTAATATTCAAATGCCTACTTCCCGTTGCTAGAGGTCAGAGGTGGGGCTGGCGGTTGCCATGGATTCAACGCGTCGCGGATCTGAACACACAAAAGAGCTCCCACTTGCCCAAATTCGGTTAAATGTCAACAGACAGGCACCTTTCCTCGACCCTCCCTCACCCACCCACTCATCATCCATACATAATCCCTATCAATCGATATCCCCTCCTCGTGACCTAGGCTTCTTCCTTTTTTTTCTTTCTATTTACAGGATCATCACTAGCACCCATCTACATCTGATCTATACATCGCAGTGTTCATGGCCAGATTAAACGACCCGCCCCAGCCAGGGCAAGAATCGCTCGAAGCAAGTACGTTGTTTCATCCCTCAAACCTTTGTTCTCATCGCTCATGAGATATAACCTCGAAGACATAACACGCTAACCAAAACCTATAGTAAAGAAAAGATATATTCGTCAGAACCGTGAGATCGCCAGGTTCGTTACTCGTAAACACCTTTATTTATGCTATCGATTTAGTATTTCGAGATTTTTGACCAAGTGTCTTGTTTGGTTGTTTATAGGGTCAACTCCACACAATCCACCAAGATTCGTAGCCTCGAAACCGAAACGACTCGGCTACTCACCGAAAACATTGATCTGCGGGAGCAGGTCATAAAGCTCCAAGCCCAGTTGGACAGGCGTGAACGGGGTAAGGCCGTGATTGAGAATGTCGAAGCTACCAAAAGGCAGCTAGAGGGGAAGGTAGCCGAGATGCAGGAGCTTCTAGCAAGTCTAGGGAAGGCTATTACAGTATCACCGAGAGGTATGATTTTACAAATTCTTATCTTAAAGCTATATTACACTAGTTTAAGTTATTGATTCGGGGTTTTTTATTTTTATAGTAAAGCCACAGCCGAAACAAAAAGCGCATGTAGTTTCACCAGATCAAACTACACACAGGAGAGGGCTCAGCTTCAGCTTCAGCGAGGCCATGAGGACTGAGGACAATCTTCCTGCGATTTCTGAAGATTCCCGGCGAAGTAGTCTTAATGTCGAGGAACCTCGACGAACCAGTCTTGGCAGCGAAGATAGAAGGAGTAGTCTTAAGTAGATACCAACATTCTTTATTCCTTATACCTTGACTTGAATCGCTAACAATCTATAGCTTCGAGGAAATAATAACATTATTACCACCACGGGCCGATGATGCAGAGTCGGATGAAGATCTCAAACCACCCACATCTAGCATGCTTGAAATCCGTTCGAAACGAAGAAGGGATAGCACCCGTCCAAGCGAGGTGGAAGCCACAAAATCAACTGTCTCATCCAGAAGTCAACTCATGGTAGACACACCATCAGAAAAACCTAAGAAGAGAAGATTTGAAGATAGGGATCAGGCACAAGATATGGAGACTCCTTTGAGTCTCGATTTTAAATTCACGAGACACCCACAAAGAACTGCGGATACGCCAAAAATTCGAGCGGAGACTCCAAAGCAAACTATATCGATGTCTAATGTTGAACTCGATCATGACATACCAATGAAGGAAGTTGATGAGATGGAAGAGGTCGAGAAGATCGTTGAGACTGGGAAGCGAGCCGTAAAAATGGATATTGTCGAGAAAAGGGATCCTGTTCCTATGAGAGAGGCTGTGACTTTAGGCGCCACTCCCACCATTGGCCGAAGAGCGCTGGGTCCCAGTAAGTCTATATTCCTCTTGCTCCTCTGCACAATAAGTGTGAAGGCGATTCTAACGCGTCTGCAGAAAGCACGAATTCGGATCCATTCAATTCGCCTCAGAAGCATATCAAAACCTCCCTTCTAAAAGCGAAAGATCTCGAGAAACCAGAGAAGACAGAACTACCGCCACAGAAGATCAGGACCTACCGCGATTCGAATACGGAACCCCCCTCGGCCGATATGGAAACAGGTGGTACGGGGAGGCCTTCGAGAAGATCAAAGGCCAATAACGTCAACTATGCTTTACCAAACCTAAGAGACAAAATGAGAAGAGAAGATAAACCGGGTGAAACAGGAAAAAGTGAAGGAAGGACTGCGAGAAGGTCTACTGCTGGCCGGTTGAAGAATAAAGATAGCTCGGAGGAATTAATGGCTAAGAAGGATGTGTTTGCTGAGGGGGAAGATATCTTTGGCAATCAATGGTTAGCGTCATTGCCCCAGCCAACAACTTTGACTGTTGACGCGGTAGAAGAGCCTAGGAAACCCAGGGAGACTGGAATTGGCGGGCTCTTGGACAGGAGATCGGGACGTGACAATGGAGAAATGGAGCTACCGGAAACTGTTATGACATATAGAAAGAGGAGGGCAAGTAATCTTCATCGGGGGACTTTAATGGACCTGGAAAATGATGCAACTTCAGGGAGACCGCAAACTACAGCGCCAACTGAATCGAGGCGGAAAACAGTCTCATTTGATCCAGAAAGCACTCACGGAGGTGAAGAAGGTCAATCGCGAAATCGCGAAAGCTCGAGTTCAAGGAGGAGAAGCGGTACCCATAGCAACCTAGCGTCATCATCTTCGCAGGTAGAACTAGCGGGGGATGAAGTTGTGCGAAGTTCACGGAGGACCAGTTTAGGAAACTCCACGAAAGGCGTTCGGAGTGCAAAGAGCACTAACAATATGGGTGATGAAACCGAATTTGACAATAACCATCCTGTAATGGCGACTGGGACTTCGAGCAGAAGGCGAAGCATGATGCTTTGATCCCCTATCCGTGTCTTTTGGAGAATTTCCAGGTTTTTGTGATTGCTACCTTGAATACGAGTTAATTTGTATACTTCGATAATCTGCCTTGGTTCTTCGGCTGTGTTTTATGCCATGACTGCCATTTGGCCATGGCTTTTTATCTTTATTTTCCTTATTCAGTTAATAATGAATCTGTATTATGACATGGGAATAGTTATGGGTTTCTTTCTTTTTGTTAGCGGGCGCGTTTGGTTGCTTTTTATTTTACTATTTTGGTTTTCAACACTATTCTGGTAACTCAACAATCCCTGTGAATCAAGAACCCCTCTGGGTTTTTTCCACGGCCTTTGTTTTTTGTGTAATTACATAATGTATTTATGGTGGACACGCCTGCCTTGTCATGCAGGTTTGGGGTTCACCCGCGGACTAGTCGATCAAATTATGTGTAATCCGTACAGATGTATTACGGGGTTGTGGGTGTCTTGTTCTCGATATTGGGTATAGTAATGGGCTAGCACGAATTTGCATCATAGGTTATCACTCGGTCTTAGACTACCGACACTCCAGCATAGAGACGACCAAAGCAAAAAAATCACTATATAAAGATTGTATCTCTCGGTCTACTAACTCACCTACACGAGCAACCTGAAAGTCTCGGATATACATAGGTATCATCTTATACAAGTCCTCTTTATTAAATAAACAAAGCTAATACAAAAGTTTAAACCTACGGGATCTATACAAATAACCCAGCATCTAAACACATACCCCAGCGGTCTCATTAGCATCACTTTACAGTATATCCCCCAACCAATCAAGAAAGAAAAAAAAAAAAAGAGAAAAAACTCACCAATCTTCACCGAGCTCCCCGTCAGCGACGTGCTCTTCGCCATAAGCACAAACATATCCGCACACTCCTCCACCGTCGGCTAGATGATCCTCTCCGTCAGCCATCCCATCCCATCCACCCACTCATCCATCTTATATCCACATAGGAAAGAAAGAAGAAAATACTCACACAAGTCTTCAACGCCGCCTTCTCCTTCATCGCCTTAATCTTCTCCTCCGGAAACTGCTGGCCCCACTCCGTCAGCAGCAATCCGGGCTGAATGGCGTTGACACGGATCTTTGGGCCCTGGCTCGCCGCGAGGCAGCGCATCAGGTGTAGGCCTGCTGCTTTTGAGACGGAGTAGGCGATTGAGCTCCCGGATGCATTGGTCGCCTTTTATAAAGGTTGTCAATAAAAAAAAAAGCGCTAGGGAGTGGGGGGAAGAGGGGGGGGGGGGGGGATCATACGGCGATTGAAGAAGTGATTAACATGCTGCCGCCGTCGGGGTTGGCGTTGAAGGTTGGTGCGGCGGCGCGGAGGAGGTGCAGGTTGGCTTTGGCGTTGACGTTCCAGCACTGTGATCATTGGCTCTCGTGTCAGATACGGGCCGGGGGGGGGGGGGGGGTAATGATCATTTGGTCTGAAATTGTGGCCAAATTGTAACGATAAGATGAAATACACACCTTATCCCAGTCCGCCTCCTCGAGCGCATACAGATCACTAAATGCTCCAATCTTTGTCCATCCCTATCCATATTCACAAGTTAGCAATCCCTCCCCTCCTTCCCCCACCACCACACAACGAGGGAACATACAGCATTCGACACCACCACATCCAGCCCCCCAGCGCCCTCACGGCCTCCTCAACAATCGCAACACACCCCGCATCCGTCGCCACATCGCCCTGGATCACGACCGCCGTGACGCCCCAGGTGGCGCGCACCTTTTCGGCGAGGGCCTCGGCGCGCGCAGAGGCCGACAGGTAGTTTATGGCGACGTTGCAGCCCTCGGCGGCGAAGCGCTCGACGGTGGCGGCGCCGAGGCCGCGCGAGCCGCCGGTGACGAGGACGTTTTTGTTTTTTAGCGCGATGGACATTGTTGTAAAGATTGAGACGGGAGTGGGACGGGTAGGTGAAGGGAGGTCTACTCTATATGGATGGGGGTCATATAGGCTACATATATAGCTCAGCGAGGACAGACAGATGGATAAGTAGCCATCTGTACCGAGTTGCCGACACCGGCGGCGGGTACTGCATCTCTGCTGCTTCTTCTTCTCTGCATGCTCTGCGGGACGACATGCGGGGTAGCTATCTAGATAGTCCAGGGTTGCCCCACCCTTTGGGTAGCATCCATCATGGCCCGGCAAATGTACCTGATTCACACTCCGGCATGTTCCGTGTGTATGGATGGGTATTCGGCTTCTGGCATGTGGTTGAGGTTGAGCTACTTCTATACATATATAATTTCCGGTTATAAGCACCCTACATGTACCTACCTACCTATCTTGGCAACTGTTACTGCCCTTTGAGACGCAATTGTACGTTCCGATTCCCGAAGTCTCTATCCAGGTAATATGTGGAATATTGCACCGGCAAATCAATTTCCTCGAGTCCATTTCCATTTCCATTTCCATTTCACTCCAGTATATACCGACTAACTATAACTAATAACGTAGCTCCCATCAAGTTCAAAGTAAAAAGTCCCGCATCACCAAACTAACTCTCCTCCCCCAAAAAAAGCCTTCTTTGAAGAAACAAAAGAAAAAAGAAAAAAGGAGAGAGGTGGAAAGATAAAGATAGAATGTATGCATAAAGAGAATCCAGCCTGCGCAAACATACAAACAATGAGAAAACTGGAAGAGAGAAAACAAACATTAACAGGTTCCGATACACGCCCTTAGTAAGAAAAATTCATATAAAAAATTAGGTGGGTTTGTGAAATACTCCTGTCCGATAGTAGACTCAGGGCCACGTTTTCCCAGGTATCCAGGTTTCCCTTTCGCTGAGGGAAAGGGAGGGGGTAAAAATGCTAAATAATAATGTTAAAGACCTTCCATCATCATCTTTCGCTATAATCGTTGAGTGCAACACACACCGCTCCCCGGTGGTGCCCATTGTACTGGCGAATGATCTGTTGACTGTACATTATCAGTATATTTTTTTAAAAAATGGTTGTCTTGTGAGGTTAGCAATATACCTGCTCAGCTCCCACAATCTTGCATAGTGATCGCTGCACGCTGTGACCAAATACGCGCTGTCAGCGCTAAACGCACAATCCCAGACCCATCTCTGATGCCCGTGAAGTGCCGTCTCCTGCGTAAACTTCTTCTCGTCGACGCTCCAAATCTTTGCAGTGTGGTCCGCAGAGCACGTCGCAAGATGGCGCACATCGGGCGAGAGGAGCACACGGGTGATGTATTTAGTGTGCGCCTGGAACTTGCATACCGGGACTAGCTGCGTCACGTCCCGGTTTTGTATCATGCGCCAAACATAGCAATTTCCCTGGGAGTTTGCCCTGTTAGATATATGACAACCCCGCGGGGTATATCAAACATACCACATTGTTTCCAGCGACGAGCATGCTGCCATCCGTGGCCACCGTGACGCTCCGCACCGGGATGTCGTCCTCAGGGATCAACTGATGCGTGCACTTGTTCTCTCCCAGGTCCCAAATCCGCACATTTCCCGCCTGGTCACAGCTGATCAGCTCGCCCTGGTTCGGGTGTATAACAACATCGTTGACCGGCGAGCCGTGGGTGTAGTTGCGCTGCACTGAAGCGGTACGGGTGTCCCAAATCTTTACGGTCCCGTCCTCGGAGGACGTCACCATCCACTTTCCTTCACAGTGGAACCCGACGCCGGTGACATTGTTGGTGTGGCCTTCGAATTGCAGGACGGGGTTGGGGTTGGTCGACTTGATATCGTAGAGTTTGACGGTGGTGTGGCCGGCGGCCGCGAGGAAACGCTTGTCGGGGGAGATGCACAGGCGATTGACCTGCGAGTCGGAGTGCTGGATTGTGCGGGAGCAGATACCGGAGAGGGCTTCCCAAAACCTAGGCAGTGGGAGCAATGTTAGTAGCTAATAGACGAGGCAGTGAAGCGCGGAGGTGTGCACCTAATGGTGTGGTCGTAACCGGCGGTGGCTGTTGAACAATATATCAGTTTCTTGGTTTCTGCTTGGGTCCGAGTTCTGAGACAGGGCAGTAGTAATTGAGAGGTGTACATACCCATAATGACACTCATATTGAACTTATAAATATATATTCACAGTCGTTGGACCGTGGGAAGAGTTAGAAACGAGAGTGGGTAGATTGAAGTGCTTGTAGAGAGCAGTGGTCGACGGGGGGGGTGTCGTTGAGTAGATGTCGTTGAGTGGAGGCACTAGCTAGAGGCGAGGGCCTGATTGATAGCGAACGTGAAGGGGATAATATGAATATAGCAGTAGAGTAGTTATGGGAAGTATGATCACTGATCTGAAGAAGAAGAAGAGTGAGTCGATAGTTCAAGAGGGGAAGGGCGAGAACAGCTAGGAGGTGGGAGTGGACTCGGGAAGGTTACAAGACGACGCAATGGCTGCCACACAAGAGAGAGATAGGGCAGTGTTGCTGTATCAGGACGGGAAGAAGCGAAACGGGGGGGGGGGGGGGGGTGATAGGCCCAAGGCCGTCTGAAGTGGGGTGAGGGCGGAGGAGGTGGTGGTGGTGGAGAATCGAGATGGAGGTGGAGGGTGGAGGGAGGGGAGGTGCGGGAGTGCGGGATTGGACGTCTGAAGGGTCGTGACTCGCTCGTGGGGAAAAAACAAGCGCTTCGTCCAATTCAGCAAGGCAACATCAAGGTTCGATTCCAAGGCCCGACGACTCGAGCGAGCCCCGTGATGATGTTCCGCTTGCACTCTCTCCAGAGCCGCATCTTCTCGCCCGCCCGCCAAGAAAAACAAAGAGATAACTAACTAACCCCTGCAGCTTCACCGTTTGGGTTTGTAATGGTTGCAGTTGCAGTTGTTTGCGGTTAGTGGGAGAGCCCTCAGGGCTAGGTGTGATATCTTACTCTACTACAGACTACGCAGGTGTAGAGTAACTAACCTTTCACGTGCTCTGGCCCCGCCAAGAAAGCACTGAGATGCGCGTTTGCAGACAGTTCAACTTCACAGCCCAACAATCCCTGGGCACAAGGCCAGCGAGAAAAGCCAACACAATCCCGCCTCCAGATACCCACAACTCGCCCACAATATTATACCATCTGTACACCAAAGATCTTCTATACACTCATTCCATTTACGCGCATCTGAGATGTTCACCACAAACCCAACCGCCGCTGAATCGGCTGCTGCGGCGCGAAGGAGGACGAGGCCAATCTCGAGGCCAGATTCAAGAAACACACAGAATAGCGAAAGACCTACCAGCAACGTGTCAATGAACAGGAGCATCAGAGAGGGCAGCATAATATCTCAGCGGGGAGATACCTCTTTCGGAAAGGCAATGACGCTGAATGCAATGAGGGGAGAGACTGGCGGGAAAGATTCGGACGGTGGTGTTGTCATTTGGGTACGTTACGTAGTTGATAATGACAATGATCCCCATCTCCACTGATTTATCAAAGAAATTATTATTGATATCTTCACTAGACAAAAAACGAGAAATACAGTGTCTCCAAACTACCAGCTCTGCCATCAATCCTAAAAACATGCACAGGTTCCACTCCCCCCAATCCCTCTCTAAACACTTCTTGCATTCTTCAGCGCTAACGGACATCCCACAGTAAACGACTCCCCCATAACAGCCACCACCGACTCAACCAACGGCCATGCTCTCCTCCTTTCCCACACTGACGCTTATGTCTGGCAATACACTACGACCCATACAATCCCGCACACGCTATCGTTCCCTCTCCCGCGCGATGAGTCGCCCTCCCCTCACAACCCCTTCCCCCTCGGCGCCCTTGTATCCCCCTCCGCAAACAGTACCGAGCCCGGTCTTGTTGTCGTCATGCCCATGTCCGGCCGAATTGCCTACTGGGACAGCGTCGGTTCCGCTGTCGCCGAAGGCCTCTTCACCAAGAAACGTGGCGTCGAAGGAAAGGTCTCCCTCGTCTCCGGGGAAAGCGTAACAGTTATCTGTAATGCCGAGCCGGCGGGCTTTCTTCTATCGCTCAGCTCTGGCCGCCTCGCCCATCTGGCGCTCAGAGACCTGGCGGGCCGCCCCGGCATCTCAGTGACCATCATGAGGGGCTACGGCACCGGAATGATGAGTGGTTTCCTCGGGGCCTTGCGCGCCGGCTCAAGCAGACGTGACATCGTCGCTGTGCGCGCTGGGAAGGTCCTCCGGATGGGAGAACGGGAGATTGTAGTTGCCACTGCTCGCGGTAACTTCTCTAGATGGCAGGTCAACCGCAGCGGCACCTACGCCAACATCGCAGACGTAGACCTACGGGATGAAATGATTACCGCAATCCAGAGTAATGTTACGGCGGATGAGTTCGGCAGCCGTAGCAGGGACCAGTTCGTAGCTATTGACACGGCGGTGTTGGAGGAGCCAACCCTGCAGACGGGCGCTGAGGATATACAGATGCTTGTTTTGGCGAGCTTTATGCCGAGTGTGTCGATTCCCAGCGCAATGTATGCGCTGGTTTCGATCACATTCTATGCGTCAGGGAAGACCTCGGTCGACCATGTCCATGTCGTGAAGACATATACGACGCCGCTAGAGGAGGGCCGCACACGGCCGAGATTGTATTTGCCGAAACCGTGTAAAACCGCTTTTTTGGTCTTTTCAAGGGCTGTGGTTCTAGTGTCCAATTACAAACCAGGGGCGCAGCAGCAGAATGAGGATGACTCCATGATGGAGGAAAGCTCAGACTACCAGGGAGAGGCATTCGAGGATGTGGTGGACTTTAGGGGAAACTTGAATGTCGAGACGGTGGGTAGTGGCATGGAGGATGTCATGTATGATGCTATCCCGCGAATGGATATGAATGGGAGCTATATGCAGGACAGCTTCTTGAGCATGAGTGGGCTCCTTACCACGGGGAAGAAAGTCCGGAATCCTGGTATTATGCTGATTGCCAAGGGCGCCGGCGTTGTGCGTATTGAGACATTTGATCTCGAGCCGGTCAAGAAGGTATTGAAGGAGCCTGTCAGGGTCAAAAGCAAGATCGAGCAAGCTGTATTCTATGGCGTCAAGGAAGACGTAAGTTGATCATTGACTGTATGCGCACAAAATTGTAGAGATGAAAGCTGACTCTTTTGATTTACAGAATCCTCTCAACTTCCAGGGCCGCAAGGAAGTGAGCTACCCCATCGAAGAGGTCGAGGCGGCCGCGCTGGAGATCAGCGCCGAGATCCTTTCCTCGACATCCGAGTACCTTCCTGTACTCCTCCCCTCTCTTGAGAACCACCTCTTACTGCGTGCGACCCACCTTCGTGCCCTCGCTGAGCACCTCCGTGCCACATTCTCCCCACTATCCCGCGAAACCATGTGGCGCCTCCTCTGCGATGCCGAGAAATGTGAAGCCGCGCGTGCAGTCTGGGCTGCAAGGGATGCACGCTTGCGACAAAACCCAGACGCAGGTGAAGGCGTCCTCGAGGCCGTCCTAGCAGCTATGAGTGAAACTGATCCTGACGATGCCGCCGGGCACGATCCAACCCGAACGTGGTTCCAGCGCCACGTGGAAAGCATCAATCAGCTCCTGAGATATGCGAAGGATATAATCATTGATGACAGTAAGAAGGGCCGTATGGACCAGCTCGTTTTCGGGAAGCGGGATTCCGAAGCGAATGACATCGTCCTGGGTGCACTGATTTCTGCGTGGAAGTTTCGGGTGCACTCTGCAAAACTGTATGGTATGGAGGGTCTCGTTGATGCGAACGGGATCTTGAAACAGATCAAGGAACTCACGCCGCCATGGACTAGCGACCCGAATATCCTGCAGGCGTTGAGCGTACAGTACGAAGTGTCGAGTGGAATAATAAAGACACTCTGGAATGAAAGACGGAACGCAGACGAGGAGTACGCAGAAATCGCTGAGCGACTAGCGGGACAGTTGGTGGGGCTAGCAGAGGTTTGCTGCCGCGGTTTCGAGGAACGTATGGCATGGTGCGAACAGCAGACTCAGGCCGGCGCCGAAAATTACATCAAGGAGGGAAATACAATCAGGGAGCGCTACTTCGACGCTAGAGGGAGATGGATCAAGCCCCTGGTAGATTTCGGCCGCCCGGAGAAGGCGTACAAGTTGGCCGAAAAGTGGCAGGATTATCGCACCCTCGTGGAGCTCTGTTCGGAGGAGCTCGTGGAAAACGATGCCGCCATGGCGGAGCTTGCAAAGGCTCCTACCGCCACTACAGAGAACAAAGCTACGTCGCATGACCTCCAGAAGAGCAAGCAGCAGACTCTAAATAGACTTGAGAGGTATTTTGAGGAATTTGGCTCGCATTTTGCGCGGGAGATGTATGAATACCTTGTTGAGAAGGAACAGTTGCAGACACTCATGGACGGCTTCGAGGCTTGGCGTGAGAGCTATCTTACCGATTTCCTCAGGAGTGATAGGAAGTATGCCAAGCTGGAGTGGATCCATGATGTCTCAATGGGTGAGTATGGTCTTGCCGCTGATACTCTAAATTCAGTTGCGACGCATCAAGAGGAAGATCTGTGGAACAAGAAGGTTGAGCTTTCTATTGGAAAGTTGGCCAAACTTGCTGCTATCAGCCAAGAGGGCGTAAACAGTAGTAATGCTGCAGACGAGATCAGATATATCGACGCGGATCTGGAGCTCGTAGCTATCCAAGAAAAGATATATGCGAGTGTGAAACATCTTAAAGACCAGATCGACACAGAAAAGGCAGTTCAGGAGGGACTAGAAATATATGCCCCAACCCTAGCAAAAAAACGACCAGGGTGCCGAGAATTATGGAAGAGGGCCTTTGGGCGAGCAGTTGAGGGCAAGGTTATTGGAGTAGAGGAGATCGGTGATCTGTTGACACTGGTGGATGATTCCGGTGATTCTGGGCTTGTTGGGCCAGGGAGCGCCGGGGAGGAGTTTTACTGGGCTTTGAAGGTTCTCTCTATAGTTGGTGGTTTGAGCCACGAACGTAGAAAGCTTGCGGAGAGGACAATCTGGAGGAGGTGCTACTTGAGGGACGAGTAAGTCTTCTACACTAGTACGTATGCACAAGTGAGGGTACTAATTGAACTTTTAGCTGGGCGACAATCGTAAGCACAAAAGGGAGGAGCGATAGTCAAGTTGAAAGTGCGACTTACGACACAGCACTATTTACTACTATTAAGTTGGGATATGAGAAAGGTACCTTGTTTTCCAAACAATCCTGCAAACACGCAAATGGCGCTAACACACACCTTCTACAGGTCTCTTCAACGAGCGATCTCCCTTCCAACCCCTAGATCCTGCACAAACATACTGTGATCTTGAGAATCCACTCAACGAGCTAAAGATCCGCTTCACCCATGCCGATGAATCAGAGCTCGGAACTCTTGCCCACGAATATATCGCGGAGACCAAACAACTCGAGAAATTTGTCAACTACGCTCAACTGGGGACATGGTTCCTCGGTGTGTGTGATAGCGCCAAGCGGGCTGCGATGGAAGATGTTAGAAATCCAGAGAGCAGCCTGGATGAGGACACCTACGAGATTGAGGAAAGTTATGTTGAGGAAAGCTACGTCGAAGAAAGCTATATGGAAGATGGTGCCCCCGGTGAGGAAAGTTATGTCCAGGATAGTTATGTTGAGGCGAGTTATAATGAGGGGGACACGGAAATGGAGGGGTAGTGCGTGATATGTAGGAGTCTCGATATCATCATAGCTGTATTTTTTTTCCAATGGGTTCCCCCCCCTTTTTTTTTTTTTTTATCTTTCTTTTTTAACGAATGGGGGCAAGTTTTGTACGAGACGAGTGAGGAGATTACGTTGATGTTTTGTTTGATTGCCTACTAGAGAATGCAAAATAGTAATATCTCGTTCAATAATTGGGAATTACGAGTATGATTATTGGACTTAAAGCACTTCACTCGAGGAGTGGTATAATTTCAGAAATGGTGTATACCTGGAAATTTCCACTTTCCAGCGAAATAACAGGATTTCATAATTAGATTAGCTTCGAGAAACAACCGAGTACTAGAACTTATATCCACCCCATACGCTGCTACTAGATACGTCAGGTGTGATAACTACATCTAATGCAACAGAGAACTCATTTGCAGATGGTTGATTGAGATATTGCTTCTCAAATACAGTCGACTCTCCTTATGAGGGTACCCTCTATAAGAATACTCGCCTTATAAGGAGCCCGGTCCGCAGGCCACTTTTTTTAGTATGTAGTGTTAAGGGTAAATGCTCATATTTTCGCTATAAGAATACCCTTAGTGCTTTTTCTCATTTTTTGGTGTTACCCTTATAGAGAGAGTGACCTTTGAGCGAAAATTGGGGCCCTTCGCCCTCAAAAAGTGAAAAATGTTCTACTAACCGGCTTGAAAACTGCACTACCTAAAACTAAAAGACTCTATCACTAAAGAGTGATGGTTTAGCCGCCAAAAGTGAGCTCCCACGAACTTCACGTTGTACCAAATTCAGTATTGAGCGAACCTTGAACTGAATTCCCTACCTGCCAAACCTAACCCTGAAATATTTATAAGGGTAACTGCTCTATAAGGGTACGACTTCGCGGTATTTCCGTACCCTTATAGGGAGGGCCGACTGTAGATCTAGAGGACCTGATAAGTTTGGTCGAGTGAGCAAGCATGATTCAAGCGCTCTACTAATCAATTGGCCTATACCTTTTAGCAAGTTCTATCACGTGCTCTCGTGTCCTGCCGTCTAGTAGCGCGCCCATCTACGCTAGATCTTTAAGTATCCCCGCCTAGTTTCTATTCCTGAGATTACCGAGATGTTCGTCACTAAACAACCCCTTACACCTGACAACTAGATCTCATCCTCGTCGATGGCACTGTATGGCCCTCATATACCCCAGCAACCATCGACAAATAGTTTGAAGGTTTTCTCTGCACAGGAACGATGAGCATAAGCCTCTTTGGGCTCACGATGACCGTTATTCCTATGGGCTCTTAGTGACCCATGCCACCAGCAATAACGTCTTGAACATGTCGAGCCTAGCGCAGCACGTCAAGAGAGAGCTCCATCAAAATTTGACGGGCTTGGCAGTTCTAAGAACTTGGCTCTCTCCTTAATTGAGGATGCTTGGCGGGCGAATTTCCTTACTATCATGGGAGAGGCGCCGGGAGTCTGATAAGACCTGGATTGGGATGCTGTTTCCAGGGATGCTCCGGCAGCGGGTACGTTATGCGGTTAACTACAGCCCATTCTTGGAAACAACTGCAGCTAGGAACATCGTGGTGTTTTATGGTGAACGGCTGTTTGTGTGTCTGGTTTTTACCGTCATCTCTCTTCCTCCTAGCGGACTGTTACGCGATTTGCACCAGGGGTGGGTTGATTGTGCAGCAGCAGGACGTCGTTTTCAGCTAGTCCTCCTCCTCCACTTTCTGGACACGACTTTTTTTTTTCCTTTCCTTTCGACAAATAGGAGAACCTGCCTGGGGAAATGACATTCTCTGCAAATCGAGAATCATTCGACTTATCTGTGGAAATGTTTATAAAAAATAAAAAAATCCGCATGAGAAATGCAAATTTAAGCTGCAGACTCCACAGAGAGCGTCTCCTTGGACGACGGGGCCTGCAGATGCAGGAACAACATTTAGGCGAACCCTGTTGGACAAGAGTAACTCTTTGGAGCTTCATCGTTTGGCCTCTCATACGCCGTTACAGCAGAGATCGCTCTGAAGATTCAAGAAATTCATGCAATTAGAGTAGTAACCCTAACCTCCGTCCGGTGACGTGTCGACAGAAGGAAGACAGCTCGAGTTCGTCATTTCGTCCTATCCGCTCTTGGTCGAGCGTTTGATTCCGCATGCTGTATGATGCTGCCTGTAGGCAAAGTACTCGTATGGGTTTCTCTAATCGCAGACAAGGGTGTGTGTTAAAGTGTCTTCTTATAGCAGAACCTTTAAACGACCATCCCCTCACCCCCCCGGAAAGCATCAGTCGCCAGCAATAAAACGACTAACCATCGGAGGCATAGGTGAGGCAGGTACAAATCTAAAAGGGGGGGGGGGGGTAGAGTGACACGGAGACGACCACGATTGTACATATCCCGTGATACGGCAAGTCCGCGACAAGATACCGGAGCCTGTTGCATCAAATTCCCGCTGACTGGGATGTTGTTGCGGCTTCCTATGTGAAAGTCTCAGCCATCTCCTATTTCAATAACTGGATAGAATGCGGTCGCTTATTGATTGCGAAGAGCATGTATGTATTAATTCATACATTGAATTGAGGCTCTGGTCTTTAAACAAGCGAGGGAAGCCACAGAAGAGGATCGCCCGTGTATCTTGGGGTTCATCCCACTGCTGGCTGTGTTGAAGGACATGGTGCCTGCAGGACGACGACACCTACCCCACAGCCTGTAGGTACAACCCACGAAAGATGTTAAAATCATGACTGCGGGGGCGGGTTCGAATCGATCCCATCTTTATCGTCAACGGTCAACACCGCAAGCCCCCGTCAAGGATGTTGGGATACCAATCAGGCTTGTCGATGGTGCTAATGGAAGGTAACTATTCCCCAGAGTTATGAGATGTAAAAGAAAAGGAAATAAAGCAACGCCAGGAGGATGGGAGACTTTATCTAAATATCAGAGTGATAAGATGAAATATTGAGGCTCATGGGTGTCTTTGATCCTGAATCACTACTGTACTCTCCACCACTGATTTGAAAAAGGCAGAGTGATACCTAATATTAAGGCTACACATAGCCTCGGCGTAAAGTTATTATTGCAATATATCCAAGCGTCTCCGACTGATTCCGTTGGTATTACCTCCGAGCACTCGGGACATTATGCTTTGGAACACAATTTCTGGATATCTACCCGTGGTGGGCAACGACGGCGGCCGATCCATTGGTAATTTCTCTTCTGATTTCCTCGATAATAAGCGCAGCAAACGATTTGCAGTTCACAGCAGGACGGTTGACAGAATGATATTTTACGAAAGACACCTCCATCCAGTAGATGCACTCATACAGGATCACTTGATGTATGAACCACTTACATACCTACCTATTCCGACTTCAGGCGCCGATGGGGTGGTCAGCGCCTTGCTTGGCTGGCGTCGGCTACTTGCGCTGACTGGCCCGTGCGGGTGAATTGTAGGGAATGCGAGATTTCTGTAAACTTTTAAAAACTTTGGCGATGAGTCTCTACAAAGTAGAAGATGAGGTGAAGGAAGGGGAGCTCATAACCATCATCATTATCATCATAGACCAAGGATCAGTATTCACGAAGCGGTAAATATCTAAATACCGCCGCACGGCATGCGCGGAAGGACCACAACATTTGTTCATAGTAGCGGGAAAATGTGTCCTAGCGAGATTCCCCCTCGCCGCATCCGGATCCCAAGCATTGTCCATGTACAACCTTTTTAATTATCACGAAGTTAATTGCGGTTGAATCTGTGGTTGGAATTCAAGGAAACATGTGAAGATCCATATCAATAGTATTGATGGGAATATTCGAGCAAGAACTGCCTTTGTTGCTCTCTCTGTAGACTTGATATTTGCCTATATGCCAGCTCAATTAACTGCTTGCTACATGTAGTCATGAAGTTGATAGACAGATCAGTACCAGCGCCAGGAACAACTCCATAAGTGGAACAAAACGAAACCCACTAGGGTTTGGCTCGACCGTGCAATTGAGCCAGCCAACCAGGGTCGCGTAGCCGAAAACGGATTCTGCCTTCTAGTTGGTTGGCTTTGAAGTTAGCCCTCTAAGAGGCTGCTTCTGGTACTGTTGCTGGGGGGTGGGGGACGAGAAGAAAAGGAAGAGGTGAAGAAGAAGAAGGGTGTGCTGTTTATCTAAGTAAGGGCTGAAGGTTCAAGCTTCAGAGATGTTTCTGCAGTTTTTCTCTGATGGCGGCTACTTAATTCTTCCAGAAGGTCGCCACCCATTGCTCTGAGCATTCCGTAAATTTTAATTTTTTTTTCTCTTTCCTTGCCTGTTCTCCGACCAAATTGGCATTGCACCTTGGCCGGGGACCGGGCGCGGGTTGCGTTGCCCAGCCGAAGAGGCCTAGGCTGCGTTCAACGCTCACACAAACCCAGCCTCAACTGCAAGCACTTGCCGCCGCTCACCCTTTGGTGCTGCTGCTTGACTGACCTCTCTTCGCTTTTCCGGATCGAATTCTCTCTTCTGTCCTCCTCTCTCCCATATCTCTATTCCACTCACATCTCCCCCCTTTCCCTTCCTCTCTTCTTCTACTACTCTCTCCCCCCCCCCTTTCTACTCGCCCACCTCGATTAGGTACACAGGAGCCTGCAGGGCGTGGAGTGCAGCACGGTAGTCTGTCAGTGGCTTCATATTTCTCTCATTCCCTAACTACATCAGCCAGCTCTCCTCTCCCTCTTTCTCTTTTCCTGCTCTGCTCCTGCTCTCCGTTTCGTCTCGCTCCCTCTCTCCTGTTGTCCCTCTACCACACAGAACTCACTCTCCAGTCAGATCGATCTACGTACGTGCCCATCCGTGTTCCGTAATCCCCTTTCCACACCCCCCACACACACATACCACACCCCCCTGTGCCTTGTAGTGAGTTTTTTGCAACATCGCTCTCTCTGGCTAGTTGTGTTAACACTGCCATAAACATCACTACTTTGCCATAACCTTCATTCCATTTCCCTCAGTCATCAAAAGTGTCTTCTAGCGGTCGCTCATCAAAAGTGCATTCTGTAGAAACCCCTTCTGTACTGCTCTCTCGTGCCACGAACGGAGAAGGGAAAAAAATCACTCCTTTATCACCAGCCGTCGACTAGCTTTCATCAGCTCCAGAGTTGGTAGCTGCAGCAGTAACAGCTTCACGGACGCAAACACTGTCTTAATCAACCTTTGTTACGAGTAGAAGCGTTCGAGATAATGGCCTCTTCGTCCTCGAACGTTGTCGGTGTGCACTACCGCGTAGGCAAGAAGATCGGAGAGGGATCTTTCGGTGTCATCTTTGAGGGAACAAACTTGCTAAATAACCAGCATGTTGCGATCAAGTTTGTAAGTCTTCTGGGTCTCTGATGTATGTTGAATACGCGTTGTTTCTGACTCTTCGTGTCTGTAGGAACCGAGAAAGAGTGATGCTCCCCAGCTTAGGGATGAATACAGAACTTACAAGATACTTGTTGGCTGCCGTCAGTCTTCTCCATCGCTTCGGTCTATATTGGCTAGGATGCGTGCTGACCGGATTGCAGCGGGAATACCTAATGTTTATTACTTCGGCCAAGAGGGCCTTCACAACATACTCGTAATTGATTTGCTGGGCCCCAGTTTGGAGGATCTTTTCGACCACTGCAACAGAAGATTCTCGATCAAAACGGTCGTAATGGTGGCTAAACAAATGGTACTTCAAAATTTGCGACACATTTTCGGGATTCTGGTTTACTAATCACCACACACAGTTGTCACGAGTGCAAACAATCCACGAAAAGAACTTGATCTACCGGGATATCAAGCCTGACAACTTTCTTATTGGGAGACCTGGATCGAAAGCGGCAAACGTTATCCACGTAGTTGATTTCGGTATGGCCAAACAATACAGGGACCCCAAGACAAAGCAACATATCCCATACAGAGAACGTAAGAGTCTTTCTGGTACTGCTCGATACATGAGTATCAATACACACTTGGGAAGGGAACAGTCGCGACGAGATGACTTAGAAGCATTGGGACATGTTTTCATGTACTTTTTGCGAGGCGGACTGCCTTGGCAGGGGCTGAAGGCTGCGACCAATAAACAGAAGTACGAGAAAATTGGTGAAAAGAAACAGACGACTGCGATCAAAGATCTTTGCGAGGGTTTCCCAGGTATGTTCTTGTCTCTCCCGGACCGCCCCGTGTCGCTAATGTGTTTTACTTAGATGAGTTCAACCAATACTTGACCTACGTGAGGAACCTCGGATTCGAGGACACGCCCGACTACGACTTGCTTCGTGAGCTATTCACGCAAGCGTTGAAGAATACGGGAGAAGTTGAGGATGGAGAGTACGATTGGATGAAGCTTAACAACGGTAAGGGCTGGGAAGCTATTTCTAAACACCCTTCCTCTCACCAATACCACCAAGCCCACAACCAGGCTCATGCCACAACAACTGGTGAACTGCGACATGTTCCTCCTGCTCAGGTTCGCCAGCCCGCTCAATTGACACCCGGCCGTTTAAACGCCCCGCATCCCCCGCCACCATCGCCAGGAAAACCGATGGGTCAGACGCGCGGCGACAGGCAAAACGCACAAGGCGTGCCGCCAACCAAACGACCGAGCGGACCTGCGGGGGGCTTAACAGCAAAACAAGCATCAACGCCAACAGCGAGTACGCAAGCCCAGTTCCAGGCGTCGAACCCGACTTTGCAACCGGCAGCGAGAAACCAGTCGCCCCAGGTTGTGAGCCAGTCACCTCAACCGAGAAACAGTCAGCAGGAGCCAACTAAGAAAACTTTCATGCAAAAGCTCTCTTCTGTTTTTTGCTGTGGTATGCCGACGCGATATCTCTTTATTTTGGCTTATACATAACTAACGTTTGTTGTCATAGGTTGAATAATTCGTCTTTGATTGCTTACACTTGTTTTTATTCTTCCAGAAACTGTTTAATATTATCCCTTTTATATCCTCATGGCGTGTTTCTTTTCTCTACTTTCCTTGATACACTACGCCCCTTCATCTAAGGGGATATTTCGACGATGCTACGACCAAAACTGGATGATAGCAGCATGTGGGGAGGTAAAGGGGAAGAGGGGAGGTGCAGGGTAGTAGGAATTTAAATAAGCTTGTGGTCGGTATAGAGGCGATGGGCTGTCATGGACACTTAGGGGGTCTGGGCGGTGGAGAGTTTATGAAAGTGTCGATTCGGAGCATATCTTCTTTTTCGAGGCGTTGCCCTATCTTTGCGAAAACGATAAAACAAAAAAGAACTTTTTTTTCTTACAGGTGTTTTGCTTTTTTGTGCAATTTGCTGGAGGGGGTCGGTATTTTTTCTGATTTTGCATTTGTCCTTACCTTTTTGTTTCATATATTAGTATTTCTCAGTGCTTCTTCTACTATTACTACTACTACTGCTAGTTCTTCTACTTGGCTTTTCTTGCGGCTATCAGCGTGGTCTTTTGGTTACTGTGGTGTGTGTTTGTAAGGGTTTCCGGCGAAGTGCTAGATATTGTTTTTGTTGTCGGTCTGCCTGCTTTCTTTTAATCATTTCTTTAAGTTCCTATCTATCAACCAGATGAGATGGAGATGATCATTTCCACCTCGATAATGTTCTTTTTATGCATTGGAGTGAGTGAGTGGATGTATTTTTTTGTTTTCATATTTTTATGCATTTTCCTTTTGTCATATTTCTTTTTTTCGAGAGAGAGAGAGATGAGAAAAAAAGCGAGAGCTTCCGCTCTTTTTTACCCTTTCCGCCCTTTGCTTCTTCTTGAGTGATTTCAGTGATGGCGGTTACAGTTATGGGGGCGGCAGCCACCGCTAGGGGGTTGAGTGGGTGAGAGTGGGTGGTGTAGAGTAGAGCGTAGATTTCACGGTACCTACATGTATGTACGTAGTCTAATGGAGGTATAGTTTTGTCTTTATCATATGTCCGTAAATTGTGAGGAAGCATGTAGTGGGGAAAGGGCATGCGGGTTGAAGATTTGACATGCGAGAACGACGAGATCTGCGGAATGGTCATGCCGCATTTGGATCACGTGCGCCGAGTTATTTATTATCGTTCCTCTCGCGGACGCCGTGGAAAAAGGTTGGACACCTGTTTTCCTTTTATTTCTCTTTTGTGGCTGAAGGTTTGGATCTAATTGCCATGGTAATGATCAGCCCAAGGTGTTTTGGTTGGCGGACATGGGACCTCTGCTTCGGATTTTTATTTAGAAGTGGGCTGTCCAGCAGTACTTACAGGCCTATGTAGCTCTTTGTGTAATATTTTTACCGGGAGTCAATCTCCTGTATGTTTGTCTTCCTTGCTGTTTATCGATGTTCTCTCCGAGGACGAAATTTCAATTGTGTCGAAGGTATCATAAGTCTCTCAGCGCTCCCCGCAATAAAAACTTAATAGAGAGTGGTAAACCCCTAGGCAAATCTGATCTCAAGTTCCCATTGCCAATATGCTAGAGCGGTATCAATATATGCACTGTTGCGGGTACATATGTCTGCCTACCGAAGACGGTCGTACGACCATACACACGTCTCATACACGAACGGGGAAAAGTGAGGATTCATCTACCATAGGCTGCAGAACGCCATGGTGTGGTTCCACATGCAGAGAGAGCCCTTGCTCTGAAGAGAGTGGGGGCCGAAATGAATCCTTCATTCATTGCTTTTCTGCAGTGCTTATTTATTATGAGTAAGGCTACTGAAAATTCCGTGACCGACTCGACCCCAATAATGAAATCACGGTTTTTCGCACTGCCTCGCCTCTAGAATATTTTTTTAGTACTTCATTCGCTCTATGAGAATTCGCATCGTAGCAAACATTAGTGCAGCTAGTACGTACAGTACTATCGGATACTTGGAGGCTTACAAGGTTGATATCATTTTAGAGGGCACGCTTCTAATCGGCCTTATAATTAAGCCTCGAGAATAGCTCTCTCCAATGATATAGTAATCTGTTGTTTTGTTATGATTATTAGCTGTATGGGTTACCATTCACAAATCACAGCCAGGGCTAGACCCGTAACTTTTAAACTGGCTAGTCTTATATGAACGTATTGCAGAGAGCAACTCAAACTGTCCAGGAGTCCGCATGAAATTCTCCGTTAGTGAAACCAATAGAGAGTCATGCATATATACGGAACCGAAAAGGCTAATAAACATTATCCGTTGACCTTAATAGTACTAGCTTGCCGAATTGTCGGGTTCGATGGAATTTAACTCAATATGTCTCTACACTCAGTAATAATATTTAGTATCGGTTTATTTCGAATCTCCGCATAGAATATTTAACCCACCAGGATAAGCCCTTTAAAAGGTTAGGGGAGCATTGTTGGGTTTAATTGGCTCTTGTTTTTTTGTTGACTGGTTGTTGAGGAAACTCTAATTCTTCTACATATATTGGATACATATATCCCCCCATACCTACAATGTGTCTTTACCTGTCACACAGTGACATCAGCCTCCTCCACGGTGTCCTGTAGTCAAAAGATACATGTATCTACATTGTACCGTGCCTCATGCACACAGTGCTAATAATTAGACTCTTCCCGGCAAAGGAACATCTGCAATATAATGAAACGGTTAACAGAAGGTATACCGTTCTCTGTATGCTAATACATTACAATAGTACTTTGTGTCCCCAAATTCCTCCATCCCACGTTTCCCAACAATGTCATTAAAGGACGGGAGGAATCCTTTGAGATACGATATTCATAACCCTATAATAAAATGTAGGTTATGTACCCATAAAACTGCGCTGGGAACTAAATGTATGTATGTGTTGGTCACTAAGATTCTCATTCATGGAATATCACTCGAACAAATATTTGATATTGTTATTATAGGTATACAATCATGAGATTCATCGCGCTTTATCCTCTCTTCATGAGTCACTTGATACATTCAAATTGATATCGTGCCCTAATAGCGGACCTCTTTTAAAAACAAAGACCATAGCCACGACCTGACCAAGACTCCCCTGGCCAATTCCGTAAATCTCTTGAGCTCAAACCAAAACCACCCGCCAGAGACCCGCTTCCGAATTAACAGGAGAAAGGTTCCCTCTTGGTTTCTCCTAAAATGAAGAGTAGCTGCACAACCCCTAAAGAAGCGCAAGGCCATGAGGAGAAGGGAGCCAAAGACGCGACCATCCTTCGGCCACGTGCACTGCAGCTCGCCCAAGGCTACGGTTGCCGTCGATTAACTCGGATTTTACCAGGGTACTATTTTTTGAAAGCAGGTGGGGAGGTCGTATCTAGGGCGGGGGTCGTGCCAAAAGCTCTTTCTTATAAATAGCTGGTTGGGTAGAGATAGGGTATACCCAAGGTCTGTATGGGTAGGGCTTTCATGATGGTTTGAATTTTCCGTATGCCTTGGTTTAAATCATTTGTTATTAATATAATGCTTTGGGGGATGTATATAAAACGAACAAAAAGTACTACAGCCGGTGATTAAATCCAACTACTACTCCCACCCCTGGATTGAACCCAGGACCTTCCGTCGTCCTGAGCACAAACTCTCGGCGTCTAACCTGACGAGCAGTCTAAATAGTAGACCACTCGCCCTTGTCTGATATTGTCTGACAGTGAGATATAACACAATCTATGCCAAGACGGACCACCTAACCCAAGTATTCATGATACTTAACCAACCCAGCCCGAGGTACTACAGCAGTCTCTCGCTATAAGGATATTATCTATAAAAATAGCATGGCCCCGTCCTGTTAACCTTCTTGACACCTAATCCTTAGCTTTCTATAGCGATAATTCTCTGAGAGGATACAAAATTTCGGTCCCGATCGTATCTTATAGCAAGAGATTAAGCCGTACTCGTATTTTAACTGATTCTATAGCTCGTCCTCGTACACGCACTTCACGGCCAATAGTTTATGCAGAGAGGTCGAATATGCTCTAGGGCCTGGGTGCCTAAATTAGGAAGGCTTTGACGGTGGGTTACATTTTCTGCGTACTGCCTCATGCGGCGATGCTTCATTCCCCAATTTGTGTGAACACATAATTTTTTGACTGATAATCGTTTCTTTTGGCGTGTATAATAAATTAAAAAAGAATAAAGGGCACTGTAATCGGGCATTAAATCTAGTTACTCGATCCTCCCACCCGTAATTTGAACTGGGGACCTTTCTTGGTGAATCAATCAATCAATCAACCTAGCTAGGACCTTTCCAAGCCCAGAGAACAAGCATTTTGTGCCTAACTTTATTACAGCCGCAGCTAGAATATTATAATAATAATAGTGGTTACGAAGAAGGGCCAGGTAGGGCTTTTAAAATCTCAACCAAAACAAAGAAAATATAGGCATCATATTGTATCACTCGGACCTTCTAGTACCCACCCTTATGCCAGATACCAAAGCAGTTGGTCATACCGACCGTGCGAGGTTTGGATAAGAGGAACCCGGGAGCTACCGTACTTGGTAACACCTGTTAGAGATTCTCTATACTCTGATGAGTATGCCCCGCGCTAGATGGTCGATAATGTTGCCGTCGAGACTAAATGGAGAAGGTCTTGCCCTATCCCATTTGTCGTTCTATGTAGTAGTAACATAACACATGCCATTGGATCTAGAACTCATTACAGTGAAATTACTCAGTTAGTCCTTTGTACAAGAGCCAGAACCTTCGACGCATTTACATGCTTGTTGTCCGGAGGGTCCGCCGATGTCCGGATCATCAGGCCTAGGCTGTCAAATTTAAGTTTGGGAACAGGTCCAGGCCGCGGTTGGTAACCAAATTAAATTAGTCGTATAACATTGTACATAGCAAATAAGTTAATACGGAAGTGCTGTATAACATATATCATGATCATTGACCTAAATTGTATATATGCCGAAGTATGTGTAGATTAGTACTTATCACCTCAGCTGAAAACCTTTTATGAATCCTATCGCTGAAACAAAATTGACCTCCACGTTCGAATTTTTCATAACCCCAATCTACTTAAATATAAGCAATTAACCTTAAGCTTATGCCATATAATCGAGATGGCGTGCTGTTACTCAAGAGCTTGACCAACCTACTCAAGTAGCTAATGAAAGGCAGTTCACCTAAAGGCTTTGAAAATGATATCTATAAATCTCGATCAAGTTTAGGTGAAACACATTCATAAGCACTCAAGAGTGTATTTAGAATTTTCAAAGGGGTTGTGAGTGTGCCAAAGTACGTAATCGCACAGCAATGATCATGTTTACATGTAACCCTGAGACCAAATTCGTGTAAGCAAGTGTTTTTTTTTTTTTTGCTTGCACAGAAATGGAGTGTTTCACATTTAGTTATGGCAGCTATCGGCCCCCATTTTGAGATGGGATTATGACGGCATAAACTCGGCCGCATGCACACCCGCATTGCAGCTGGCTACGTACATAACTTAGGAGTAGTAGTATCTATATAACCATAACCCAGGTATATAGAATAAATCCCTTAATTGGGCAGCCGCCCGTGTATATATTGCGCCACTCAGCTTATGAGACCGTACATCTCTGATAATGTAGTTATTTCTGTGAATAAATAAGTTGTAATATCACCAAGTAAAAAAAACGCCACATTGAATCAAAAGCAAGCATCTCGATTCTCCCTAACCAATTCATATCAACAAGCAGCCCTTTTAAACAGCAATCCAGATAACGGAAATAACCACATCCATTCCTATAAATTTAAATGTTAATCCTGATCCAATCTTTATGAAAGGCATTTCACCATGATCTTACCTTTGGTTTCGTACTTGAAGCTCCACATGCCATCCCTCTCGTTATTCCAGTATGCCCCACAGGCGCTGTGCATTCCCCTCCTTCCAACGCCTGCGCTGCTGTCCGAGCCCCCACGCCCAGAGACCAATTCGCTACCGGCATTATCTGCATCGCCAGTGCCCGTGCTGGTGGAAGGAAGAGCCTGACGTGAAGTCAAGTGCTGGATGATGGTAGAGTTTACAGCGAACTTAAAAGGCGACGACGATGATGTGGAGGATACTGCAGACGAGGGAATAGACTCCGAGATCAATGCACGGAGTATATGGTTCTGTAGAGCGCTGCTTTAGTATCCGCACATTGACTTCGAACGAATCCGAGAGTTAATACAATAATTGAAGTGTTCCAGGACTCGGTCCGTGAGTGCTCGTAGGCCTCAACTTTCTCTAGGGCGGCGAAACAAGCCTTTTTTAATTAGTCTCAGCTCTAGATATCTTATCAATGGGAAGTTATTCGTAGTGGTACACACATCGTTGCATATCTGTTTCAACCTGGTTGTCGGTACAGGCTGTGGGAATTACTAGCATTAGCTTTCGAGATTTTAGTTTCATGTTTCAATTTTGAGAGCTTACAGGAGTAGAATTTGAGAGATTCGGGAACTTGGGATCTGACATTGTCGCAGAGATATTGGTATTATGTATAAAAAAGTGTGTTTTGGGGTGGACCTGAGCGACAACTGTTCGGGGTGAAGTTGGAGGGGTAAACAACACTGATAGCTCGTGTGGGGTGTTAAGAGAGCCCTGTTCCTGGTCTTCAAGTGACGAGTTGTTCACCTAGGTTAAGAACACCACGTCACACCGTGCACCGCAATCTAGGTATTTGAAAGGCTATTTTTTTCTAATTGGGTGTTTTAACAATAATGACCCCACCGACAGTCTCTCATTGGGCGCTTCCCTCTGTTCTGCGAGGTCTCCCTGTAAGGTGCTCTTATCTTCTCTCTTATTGGCCCCCCTCCTAGTGTCCCGCTTCGGCGCACCAGGAAGCGGAGAGCCAAGTGATTTAGCCCATGCATTCTCCCGCCCAGCCGCCATAGCCTGCCATTGCCATCCAAGTATCCAGTGCTGTTTTTCCGCTTCGATCGGATTTCAACAACAACTCTCCGAACAGCTTGCTCTTCAACCTGTAAAATTCTCCAACGGACACGCGACACAGGCAGTCAAAAATCTTCTCCATCCTCCTCTCTCGTGAGTGTTGCTCCCCTCCTCTTTCCCTTCTGCTACTCTATCTTCTCCCCTATCAGTCTCAATTGACTACCAAAAACATAGCATCTAACTGCTCTCTAATACACAACCAGATAAAAGATTTTCCCTCTCTAAAGACCCAAGGAATTCCCTTTCACACGAGAACGCGCCATGTCGTCCCAACCCCTCCTCCAAAGTGCCCCCGGAAAGCGCATTGCCCTTCCCACCCGTGTCGAGCCAAAGGTAAGGAACCGAAACACCACTTAATTTCCCATTTTCGTCCATGACATGATCTGACGTTGTGTTGGTGTAACAGGTATTTTTCGCCAACGAGAGAACTTTCCTCTCATGGCTCAACTTCACTGTGATTCTAGGCAGTCTCGCAATCGGGCTGTTGAACTTTGGTGATCGGGTCGGCCGCATAAGTGCGGGACTATTCACATTTGTCGCGATGGGTGCGATGATGTACGCGCTTGCGACGTTCCATTGGAGAGCTGCGGCCATCAGAAAACGAGGACAAGGCAGCTTTGATGATCGTTTTGGGCCAACTGTTTTGGTGGGTCACTCCTCGATATCCATATATTCCAAGCGATCACCCGATAAGTTGTGGTCGGGTAGGATATTCGCGATCGGTACTAATAGAACTTTGCACACAGGCTATCACTCTTCTCTGCGCCGTCGTTGTCAACTTTGTACTTAGAGTCTTCCTTTAAACTCGGACCACTTTAATTCGCATTATTTTTCTGTGTATACGAACAGACAATTGATTGGTAACGATCGCGACCGGTTGTCGTACAATCGATAACAGAGAGATAAAGGTTTGAGAGAAATTTGGACAATATTCGTTTTTGTATTCTAGGTTGTAGTTGGGTACTGCGCAGTGATGGATTTATGATTTTTAGCAGAGTTGTTTTTTGTTGCGTTGGGCAATTGGATTTGGGAAACCTGGGTGTTGTATCAATTGGGCTATTAATGAAACTACTTTTAACCAGCTTACTGTTACGACATACATACATCTATCTATCCATTAAAACCTTTATGATGGCAGGTGAAACTCATCTCATCTCAAATCAATTTCATTACTTACTCAGCTAAATACATGTACCTAGATGGGTGCTGACGTCGTTATAAACGGACCTATCAGCAACGTCGTCCTGTCATTCGCAGTCGGCCAGCCTGCGGCGGGCAGTCAGACCCGGAAAACTCTCCTATCACACCGTGATATATCTGCCCGCCGGGCGCTCCCTACAATTCCCGCCGGTCTATCCCTATAGAGCATGTTCTATATCTCCGTGTGTGCATCCCACTCAAATGATATACCCGGTGCCGTTGAAGACTCCTCCCACCTTGTTAGGCAAAATAGCTGTACTCCCAATATCCCGCACCACAGGAGGATAGTGCTCCGATCCCCCGATCGCGTGCATGCCATGAACGTCATGCTTTGAATCCATTGGTGGGATCGGCTACTCCTTTGGCTTCACCTTCAACTGTAACAGTGACCGTGCGTATCTGCCCTATGTTATGCGTTGACCCATGAATGAATATGTATAATTGGTTGTTGATATAGAAGTTAGGCAGCTAATCAGTAAGCCGGTGAGAACTGTGAGGGTTGCTAGTTACGTTGTTTGGGGGGAAATGGTGTAGGTAGATTAGGTAAGGAGGGACAAAGAGCTCGAAGGAGCTGCCTTATTTTATGTACCGACGGTCTGAGGAGTAAGTGGAGTTTAATAGAGGGTGTGATAATCTGCCGTTCACGCCTCAAGGGTCTTTCAAAGAATGTGGGATAGCCTTTACTGTACTAGATCTTCAGGCCTACCGAGGGAGGATTCAGGCCTCCATGGAATGGAATTAAGCAGATTTCAGTTGAATTTCGATTTCCAGGTAACACTTGAAACAGCAATGGGAAGCAATGGCAGAGATTTGTATGGTAAAGTGCAGTAATTACTGCCTTTTTATTTCAGAGTTGAGATTTACTCGAAAGATAATTCACACCAATTCAAAAAGCTTTCCCCTTCCCACCGACCCGTTACTTCGTTATACAGAAAATGAAACCCATGAGAACAGAAAAATGAAATAATAGAAAACCCCGAAAATGAAAACCCTTATAGTGAGAGATTTCCGGAATCACAAACACACATCTGGAAGGAAGCTAAAAAATACAATCAACCGAATCAAAAACGCCGAATCTAAGCCTTTTCACCCTCAACAGAAGAAGTGTTGGAAATGGTAGAGGCCAGTTCGGCCCCGTCATCCACGACTCCAGGGTTACGAGCCCCATGGACCCTTTCATCGTAAACAGGTTCATCATCAACCATTTCGAATTTGCTGGGGACAAATTGGTTCTCAATATTGCCCATGGAGTTGGAGCGACGGCGGGCCTTGAAGGCATTGAAGTTGGTGACATCGAATTCGTCTCCCTCACGACCCCTATTGAGTACCTATTAGTAATGTTTTATTTCAAGAGCAGTCCAACCAAGAATAAAGTTCGCAAGGGGAGGGGGGGTGAATTATGGAAAAGGAGTGAATTGTGAGGGGGAAGCCATCTCGTGTTGTAATAAGATGTATTGCAGGGTAAGGATAAGTCATAAAGAGCATTGATAACATACCAATTGCCCTTGCCACCACCGTTCTTCTTGGTCTTGTTGGGAGCCATGTCGACAAAGCCAGACTTCCCAAAGTACTTGGGGATCTTGTGTTCGTCAAAGGCAGCCACAGCCTCGGGGTGGTTGTGGGGGATATCATTGGCCTTGTGAGAGCGAGTCATGATTGCGGGTGTTTGTGTAGGAGGATGTTATTAAAAAGATTAAGTGTTATGTACTTGAGTTCGTAATAATTATCCAGGTAAAGAGTAAGGAATATGAAGCTGAAGATGGAAGATGGATTGAGGAGGGTGTTGGTAGACTGTTCGTGGGATGAGGAGGGTCTATATATATGTACCAAAATGGCTTATTAGTTGGCCAAGATTCTCCTTGAGATACATAGTATGCACGCCCCCAGTGGAATGCGGGGATATAGAGTAAAGCCACCAAGTGGAGCTCTGGGGTACTTGTTTTCCGGGGATGGGAAGTGCTGAAAGTGACGTTGTAATGGAAGTTATATACGCAAGGGTAAAACGGAATGAGATTTCTGATGGTGGAATTGAAATTATTTTCGACTCACCAAAATATTCGTTTATAAAAATCTCACAGGATTGAAACTGTATGAACAAAGAATAATGAAACTCGTGCTTTTGGTGGGTGAAGCATTGAGAATTTATATTGTGGATACATAGCGCCACCTGATGGTGGGACCACAACTTGACTTTCTCACGCACCAGGCCACCACCTTCCTGAACATCCCTTCTCAGCCCATTGGCAATAATTGCCAGAAGAATGAGAGGTTCTTGCGTGTCAGATACCGAAATCAGTCCATGGCGGCGCCAGTCATACGGTTCTTTCCCCCGTTCGTTACTCACCAAGCTCTCCCCCTCCTTCGCGTCACGCAACACAGCTTGCACGAGACCTCTCCCTGCCGGTTCTTTGCTAAGACTTGCTTTGGCTAATGCGACACAACCACCCCACAATTCCCCTTCCCCACACTTTCATGAACCCTGCTTGCCGCACTTGTAACCAAACTCGCATCATCAGCCAAGGAATTCCATAACGCCTTTTTTTTCGACCGCGCAAGGTTAAATTGCGCGCTTTGTAAATACATAGAGACACCAATCCAGCTCTTGGCGTTGAATCTCAAAATAAACAGAAAAAATCGTTAACAAATTTATGATATTCAGAAAAGAGTCAAGGATCTTTGATCGAAAACAGGTTGATGGTCAACCCATATTACCCCTTTGGGTAAGTGGGTAACTTCTTTAGGATGTACCCAAGAGAAACCCCCCAAGATGATCATCGTCAGATGACTGGAAGCTTCTAGCTAGCCCGAGTTGAAGCTGTTGCTCCACTGCCGCGAAGGCTTGAATGACCAGTTTAAATCCGTCGAGTTTGACAAATTCCACGATACCCCTTTCATTGCTTTTTCAAGTATCGATCGATATCAGGTACCCACAGATATTGCATTTCTACATATAGGGTAATACTCTCTACCCGGGCCAATGCATCAAGAGATATCCAGAATTCCCGAACCTAATATGATCTCCAGGAGTACATACATAAATTGACCCTAAAGTTGCTATACTATACAATTAGAGATACTGTATCTCCCAAGGCACGGAGATCATACTTTAGCCTACTGTAAAGCATTTCTTGAAGAACGAGTGATGCATCATGCCGCAAAACCGTGACAGGGATGTTGCCGTTTTTACGATCCACCGGGCTCCACCCGCCGGTGTCCGCCGCCGCACTTCACGTGACATGCCAAGCAACAGATGTCGTTCGTCATCGCAACCTATCCGGAAATCAAGAGACAACAGCTCCGGTATCCTTTTCAATTTACAAAGACCACAACAACAACTCACCCCCCCACGCACCGATCGCTTGCATATATACAGTCGCTCGAAGAAGAAGATCCAGAACTGTTTAGGAACAAAGAAGGAAAGAAAATATGTCGTTTGACCGTCTCCCCTCTCTCGAGGCCCAGCCTACGACATCTCGGTCAACAGGGTACTCCGACTCCCCAGAGTTTGACCGCCTTACGACCCAGCTTTCCTCGAAGCTGTTTAAACTTACGAGCAATATCTCGACGTTGAACCGCGAGCTGAGCTTGGTTGGTACGAAAAGGGATAGCGAAAACCTTAGGGAGAGAGTTAAGAAGCTTCTCGATGAGACCAGGGAGGGTTTTAAGGCGGTTGGGGAGGGGGTGAAGAGAGTACAGAACTGGGAGGACTGTTCTGTAAGTTATACGATTATATCTCTACGATGGGCACCATGTCTGTTTGCTTTCGGAAGGAAATTGTGCTGATATACGCGCGGTGATATAGCCATCACAACGATATACCCAAGAAAAGCTTTCCCGTGGGATGACATCTGCCCTTACAGACTTCCAGGGAATTCAAAGGCTGTCCGCTGAAAAGACCAGACAATACGTGACTGCAGCACGACAGGCACAGGGCCATATCAATGATGATGGAATGCCCATAGATGATCTGTCCTATTCTCCAAAGTCAGGATCGGGCCAACAGCAGGTTCAGGTGCCACTTGTTCAACAGCAAATGGCGCTCGCCGAGCAGAGCGAGGTTGACTTCCAAGAGGGGTTGATTCAGGAGCGAGAGCAAGAAATTCGAGGCATCGAGCAGGGTATCACAGAGCTGAATGAGATCTTCAGGGACTTAGGAACCATGGTCACAGAACAAGGTGTCATGATTGACAACATTGAGCAGAACGTCAGTAATGCAGCGACTAGTACAAAGGCAGCGTGAGTATTTCTCCATCAGGATTATATAACCACAAAAGGTGAAATGCTAACGTATCTCGCTCGTGTAATAGTGATCGGGAATTGACTACTGCGGCAAGGTACCAGAAAGGCGCCAGAAATAGAGCTTGCTGCTTGCTATTGATCTTGGCTATTATATTAACCGTTATTCTGTTGGCTGTTAGTATTGCAATCCCTCGGTATTTATATATTCTAACATGGGTGCTGTAGATATTCCTCGGATGATATCATCTATTTATATATCCCCTTTCATTGCGTTGTTGGTATATGTATGTTGGACGGTGTTACACTTGTGCTTATTCATCACTTTTCGTTTGTCTTTTCCTTCAGGTCCTAATTCAGTGTTTTGGGAAGAGGATAGTTGCGGGCTTTGTTTTTATTTTTCGTCCAGGAAGGAACTTGGGTTGCGTTCAAGCATGCTATTGCCTTTTTCTTTTATCTTTTCCGTACGAATCAATATTGGTGAAGGGTAGTGAGATTAATAACTAGATGTCTTTCCCGCCATCCTATGATGCAAGCAGCAAGTGTACTCATTTGAGGTTGAGCTCTGTTTGGAACAAGCGAGATTTGGTGGTTTTTTCTTCTCTTTTTTCTTCGCAAAGGTCAGTACGGGTTTCCGAACCTGAGCTAAAAGGGAGTTTCTAGGGCTGCGTGTATGCTTAGCCAATATCATACATCCTTATCTTACTTGGGGTTAGGTTTAATTTGTGAGTCAGCTAAACGAGTGAGCGGTTATGATACCACGCTTCTGTGTGGTTGGTTTCTTATCTGTGGGTGGGTGAAAATGTGTAGGTACATGTAGTAGCTACCTTCTAAGGTGATACCCCAGCAGAATAGCATGTTCGTGAGCACAACTAGACTGTCCTTATCATGTGTCATCATTCGTTGTGTGCTCCCAAGTCTTAAAACTCGACACACCCTCCGATATCCTCGCCATGCTCAATCACAAAAAATCATTCAGCTCCATCTCTGATTTTTAACCTCTTTGTTTCATCTTTCGTTGTCTACTCGCACACGCCATGTTGCGTTCTCCCGTTCTCCCAACGCGTCGTAAGACAGTAAAGACATATGGAAAGAATTCTCGCTCCAAGGCGGCTTCGTTCAAAGTTTTTCAAGATGCCGTTGATAGGGATGACACCGAGAAAAAAAGCCGGCCAGGTAAGGATTACTCATCTCCTAAAGTTATCTCTTATGCCCGTTTGGTCTAATGAGGGACTAATGTCTTTGATAACCCGATAACTAATTGTATACTACAGCCATCGCTTCTTCCCCTCCTATCGTTGGACAGCAAATTTCTGGCTCTATATCTGGTATAAACCTAACGGACGATCTTGATGACCCATTTGCAGACCCTCTATCTTTGCCTTTAACCAAATCAAAAATCCCAGACCCCATTGCAACTTCCAACCACAGTGATAAAAGAAGGGCTCTAAAAGCTACAGCTTTAAGAGAGAAATCGACAAACCGCCCTATTCTGATAAGATCAGCTGCACAAATTAGAGAGACATCTGAAACTTCCACTACATCTCTTCTTCGCCAAAACATAAAGAATCATCGAGCGAAGAAACAAAAATTCAACAATACTCCAAGGGTTATATCTGACGCAAAAACACCACTACGCCCCCAAAAACACAGATATCTAAAACCAGAATACGAGCAACGAGATTTTCTGGAAGATCAATCTCCAACCAAGATAAGAGGATATATTTCACAAGAAACCGAATCAGATAGAATACATAGCGAGGGGCCCGTGATACCAGGAACTCTAGCTAGTGATATGGATGATAATGCTAGTACTACATCTGTGACATGGGTCCGTGAGAGAGCAAGGGACATTTTTAGTGGAACAAGGAAGGCGGCTGGAAGGGTTATGGGAGTTGCACCATCGAACGCTAAACGTAGAGATCAAAAGGAGGAACTTCCTAAGCTGAAGGGCATTATCAAAAATGGAGCTACCAAGGGTTCTTATGGGGCCATAAACAATCATCTGCAAGTGACGCAGAAGGAGAATATAGACTTTCGAGGAGGCCATGCTAATGACATTTTCAGCAAAAATAAGGGTAGCGTTAGTCTACATGAGTATTCACGGGAACCCCTTTCTCATCCAGAAGATTGCCAAAACAAGGATTTTGGAGACGAAGACCCCCTGGGTCTTCACAGAACGACTAATTCTAGCCGCCAAAAGAACTTTTGGAGATCGGAGAATATCCAGGATTTATTGATGTTAGGATCGGCGAAAATTCAATACACTAAGAAACAGAAAGATTGCAGTTCCAAATACGCTACAGGAAATGAGGATCCCAATTCTTTCCAGAATTCTGTCAATATCAGTCCGCAGGGAAGCATATATGACCTATCAGATAATGGAATGCCTTCATCAAGTCCATTGTTTAAATCGACCCCAAATAAGGAACAGTGCAATTTAAGATCTAACAAAAACCCATTCTACTCCGATGCCGACTCTTGCAAGGATATGTATATGGATGGATCATTGAATGAAAGATCATCTGATGAGGGCAATGAAACCACAAAATGTGACGAAGACGAATTTCTCGGCGAAAATATACATTATAAAGAGAAAGTGAAGAGGAATGCAAGGTCTACGGAAAGCCAGCACCTGATCCTGCGGGCTGCATCATCAGAGGACGAACTTTATCAAGCTCCGTATGGTTGTCAAGCTCTGAATGACACAGGAACTTTTAGGAAGAGCGTTACAGGGAACGGGGAAGGTCAGGTGCGGAGGGGCGTTGAGAGTTATAAAAAGAAAAACGTAAAGGCTTTGGATACCGCACCTACTAGCAGAGCAATTGGCGATGCCCCCCCAAAGGAGTTCAATCAGCAGCAACAACACGGCAAAGATATCATTCATGTCGGTGGCTCAAGAACAAGCAGATATGTACCAGTCAAAGGAACAGTTGAGGGGGCCGGGAAAAAAACCGACAAAAGTAACCGGGCAAGAATCCCCTTGAAGAAAAAACCAAGCGGAAGAATTGGCAAGGGTGGAGTAGGTAAAGAGGCTAGAAAACGAAAGTCTTCTCGGGGTTATGAAAAACTAGAGGATGATGATATGGATGAGTTGCAGATGGATTTACCATCGATGATGATTTGAATTGGCGGTGAAATTTGGTACACCTAAAGGCTGATGTTTGAGCTTTCACAATGGTTTAAATGGGCGCTGAAGTTTCTTTTTTTCTCTTCTATTTTACTCTGGACTAGATGTTGCTTTCTCTTTTATTCATCGTTCAATTTTTAGATCTCCATTGGAGGTCACTACATGTAAGCGGTACATGTGCTAGATACATGTAGGTACATGGGCTACTTTTGCTATTGCTGAAGACACAGATTTGCTTTCATAACACAATATTATCTTTGATCGGATTGAGAGTCTTGCGTTGCGTTATGGACAGGCAAGTCGGAGATAACTACATCCACTATCCAGTTTTACTAACATAAAAGTCCCGTTCTGGGCTGTATGCTGCCATTGATCTGATCCTGACTCCATGTATCCTCCCGGACTGTAGTATGAAAGATCCGATAGGTCTTTGGCCCAAGTTGGATATTAATAGGAGGGGCCTACGATCTTTAATCTAACAAAACCACCAATATCTATCTCGGTCAGACCCCTCACTAGGTATAATTATAATTGTGGATCCTTCCGGATGTAGCCACAAGCTTTCGTGCCGCATTTTAGCTTACCTGGTGTTTCTTTTTTTCACCTGTCTAAGGAACGGGTGTTTTTTGCCTAAGGCCCTGACTGTTCGCTGGAGCAAAGAGGTCTTAGATATCTTTACCGAACGGAACAACCAAGAAAGAAGCTGCGGGAGAACAGGTGAGAAACTAACCCGTGAAGCTTTTGAAGCTCCGGTATCGGCGACCTGGAGATGTAGATGGTCAACAAAGGCATCTTTCTCTTTTTTGGCGGTGACTTCTCCACGAGAAGAGCGTATGGGTCCTCCTCATCTTCCCCCGCCTTATCCTCGTCACCCGTCTTCCTTTTCTTTTTCTGTGGTTGCTTCTCCTGCTTCTGCGATCCAGGTAGATCGTTCGTCACACTTGACAGGGCCGTGTACTGGTACCACTGTCCGCCTTTTTCACCGATGCAGCGTTTGACGATCTCAGCTACAGTGATTGCCTTGGAGGCGGTGGCGGCTTTTGAAGTGATTGAGACGGCAGGGAAATCGGAGGTTATGGTAGTAGTAGTGGTGGTAGTTGTGGTAGTGCTGGAGGTAGTTATAGTTGCAGGCGTGGATGCAGGTTCGGGGTAATTGGGGTTGGGATTGGGATCCTGCTCGGGATAGAGCTTGGAGAGACATTGATCCACTTTTCTTACAATGGCGGAGGTGGACACAATGTTGACATTCTGCACCTCACGGACGGGAGCGGGGAGGATAGTGGTGAGTTTATCCATGCTGTTTAAAACGGGGATTAGGAAGGGAAAGGGTTGGTGGGGGGGGAGGTGCACTGTTTTCCCTTTCAACTCTACCAGAGAGAAGAAAAAAAGTGTTTTGGATGAATCAAGATGAATGAGGCTCTGCACGGTTTGGATCGCCGGGTCGCGGCCAAGTTTATTACCTATCAGGGCTAAGGACGAAACCGACAGATAGATCTTCGCCAAGGAGCTAGTAGCCCACTTAACGGAGTGTTTCTCGCTTGACCGTTTCTGGAGGTGTCGTGTGAGAGCGAGTGAGCGAGTGTGCAGTGTTCAGCGCTCGGGCCTTTTGGGGAGAGGGCCAGTGAGGGTTTCGCGTCACTTATTTCGGAAGGGACGATGAGAGGGTGAGGAAGGGAGGCCGGGTAACTGCATGTAGTACCACTTCCGCTGCACTGTGCTCACTGGGGGGGGGGGGGTCCCTGTGATACTCCAGCTGGTACTCTACGTACACATGTAAAAGTACCACATACCTCTACTTTACTCGTAGATAGGCCGGATAGTGAATTGAATGGATGGAGACTGGACGAACAGGCAGATACCTGCTTGCTTGCTCGGATTTCTATGCGAGTAAAATGCACGCAATATTCTGGGCACGCATTCTCTTTGTTCGTGCGTGCACGGTGCATCGGTTCGGCTGCGTTAGTTACTATGCTCTGTTCTTGCTACCGGCTGCTACCGGCTACAATACTTTCCATGGTGGTGGAGGGGGGGAGAAGTATGAAGTGTGTAGGTAAAACGAGGAAGGAGGGAGCGTTGTGAAAGTAGGGATTGTAGGAGGAGGGCCTGGGTCTCCTAGCTACAGACTCGTGCGTGCTCCTGTTCCCGAGCGGTTGCTGCAGGTTGAAATTAAAGGAAACGACGGACCACAACCACAACGAACGAATAATAGGGTATCTTGCATGCAAAGCACAAGCATCAATGAGCAGATTTTCCGACTCCCTCTCTTATTTTATTTAATTCCTACACCCCCTCCATGTAGCTACATGATAAGTTTTTCCTCCCCTTCGCCTGTGAAATTCTTCCCCGCGTTTTCTGACACCCCTCCATTGTTGGCTGGTTGTTCGTCCCTTTATTCTCGCGATCGGGTCGAGGTCGAGAAGCGGGCGTTGACACGTCGACGTCGGCCTTCCGTACTAGTAGAGGGTAGAGTATCAAGCACAAGCAACGCAAGAAGGCAGGCGGACGCAGCAAAGGACAAGAAGAAGAGGGGGAGGGAAAAGAGGCAGCAGAAACTGCAAGATCATCACGAAGCAGATGCAATACCAATACTCTATCAAGTATCAAGCAAGCAAGTAGCAGCAGCTGGGGCCAGTGATTATTCCGGTGCTGTTGTAGCAACCTATTACTATTATTCCCTGAGCACCCTCTCTCACTATCCACTCCAAACCTTGCCCCACCACCACCATCATTACATACCAGCAGCAACTCTCTTTCTTATCCTCGACGGGTTTGATATTGCCTCTCTCTTCAGGATGTCGTACATGTAGGGGTGCTGGGTGGAGAGGGGAAACATCCAATCGCTGAATAATTTAATTCTTCTCTTGCTATCCATCTGTTTCTGCCTGCTGCTCCCCAGCGAGGTTTTGTAATTACATGTAGGGTATCATGTAGTGTGCTGTGTGTGTTTCCCAGAGTAGCGGGCGCCAACCAACAGCCGCGGCCGCCAGTACCTTCAGGGCCAAACGGAACCTGTCCCTTCCCTTGTTGGGATTCTCCAGATCTTCTTCTTCTTGTTGATGTTCTATCTGCGAATCTACTCGCCGCTCGAACCCTTATTCCTGCAAGGTGGTAGTCGACGTATTAAACTCCCTTGCTTTAACCTCTGCGCGCCTTGAATGCACATATGTAAACCTAATGTATGTAGTAGGTACTGATTCCCAACATACCACTGCCACTTCCTCACTTCTAGTTCTAGGTAGGTAGGTATTCATACCCTAGGTAGTTTCTCAATAGCCTGCTCTCGATCGATAAATTCCGGGATATCAAAGACATAGATAGCAACCGCACACATGTACAGTCACTCACGGGGTGAAGGCGGATCCTGTCTGATGGCGGTCAGGGATTTGAGGCCAATAAAAGAGTTAGGTTTTGGACGCCAAGGGCAAATTACTGCAAACAGAACCATCAGACAGGATCCGCCGTGAATAGGTGAGCGACTGTAGCTTGTAGCTAGCCACCCACCTCCGCAGGCATCCAGACGGAGTAAAGTAGAGTAAGAAGTAAGATTCACTGAGCAGGGAGGACGGTAGGAGGCAAGTGAAGAGTAGATAGCGCCAGATCTACCTATTACTGCCTACTACTACTCATAACTACCCTGCCGCTCACTACTTTACCTGACGCTTTGATCCTCAGCATCCAACAGTTCGACTCTCGCCTCTCAAACAACTCTTACTTGCTTTCTCCCGCATTTATTTTCTCCCCTTCTCTCTCTCTTTCTCCCCCTCTCCCCCCCTCTCCCCCCTCTTCTCTCATCCTTCATCTCTCTCTGTCTCCCTCGAGTCGTTTTCCCTACGCTTGTCGTACCTTCCCTTCCCTACCATACCTATCTCTATCTGCCCCTACTATTTGTGCTGCACCCAGTTATATTTATCCCACCCCCACCATACTTTGATAGAAGACGCAACTTTTGCCTGCCTGCCTGCCTACTTACTGTCTGTGCCATCAATAATATAACAGCCCTGAAGCCTGCTTGGTGGAAAAATAAAATAAAAATAAAAAAAACTTTAAATATTTAACATTACATACAGTATTAAACGAGGAAACCCAGGGAACAGCCCCCTCCTTCTCTCTCTAGATCTCTTGCCACAAAGGGGGAAAACAGAAAAAAAGGGTTCAGAAGTCGTGCGCTCTCTACTCGCTCGCACACGTCAACCGTCAACGTCAGTTCCCCCCCGTCCCGTTCGAAAGCTTGGAACCGCAACCGCAACCACAACCAAACCATCCACAACCACCGCCGCCGCCGCCGCTCAACTCAATAGCGACGACGACGTCAGCATAAATAACACATCTTCGCAATAACACCGTCATCGATTAAAACTCGCTCCTTCCCCGCCTAACAAACCAGCATCCCAACAAAAACACCACTCTCTAACAGGCGTAGCAACCCTTCACCCCCCGCCATAACTACAACCTTCGGGTTACGCCCCCCCCGCCCCCCGTTCCCCCCTCCAAACGACTCGGTATCTCAAAGCTCATGGCGGCCACTCCTGCTGCTGCGGCTAGAGATCCCACACCGACGGAAGTCCGGAGAAGGATATCGAAGGCCGGCGCAGTCGCTGGTCCAGCCCGCGACGCAGCCGAGGAGAGGCCGCCAGTGAATAAGAAGGTGAAGTTGGCATATCCGGGGTCCACTGGAAACACTACCACCACCTCCGTTGCTGAGGAGACGCCGCGATTTATAGGAGGGGATTGGAGAATGGGCGGAGAGCGGGTGGCACCTCACCATCACCCTAGTGCCCCCCCTCCCCCTTCTGTGGGTGGTTCAGCAACGGTGAATGGTGCGAATGCGACTGGAAGGACGGCGCAGACTACGGCGCAAAGATACCTAGGTACAAAACTACTTATTTTTTCTTTTTTTCGCTTTCTTTTTCCTTACTACTATTACTGCAGCTACACAAGCAGCATCGTTTTAATATCGGAAATAAAATATATTACATTTTTTATATTCCAAAAAAAAAACAAATATTACTATTTTTATACCATTTTGCGGCTTTGCTATTTTTATTTATTTGCGTATATTTGCTGCTGCCCAGAGAGAGAACGAGAGAAACAAAAGATGAAAAGATCACTTTTGAATGTTGGCTGACACCACATCAAATTGGAAAAATAAAATAAAAAGACCCCAAAAGTCTCCAAAATCTTCGCGAAACAATCTCACAACAGTTCGACATCGAAATCCTCCTGAAGCATCGGGAATTGGGCCTCATCGAGCAAGAAATCGCCAAAACGCAAATCTGTATCGAGCAGCTCCGGCGCTGTACTGTAAAGCCCTACCAATCCCCTGAAATATCACTCGAGCCCTACATCCCCGACGCGAAGCAGCTGGAGAATGGTCCCCCGGATTACTCACCGCCGCATTGGAGTGTGGTCAACGGCCCCTACACGAGACATTATCAGCAGTGGCTGCTGCCGGATCCTATGTTTGACGGATATGGACCCGAGGGCCCCCCGCAAGTAGCTTTGCCCGCAGGTAAAGGCACCAGGAGTCAAAAGACCGTTGAACAGACCCAGACATACACGGTAAGCGGGCGCCCTCAGAGACAAAGTGTGATGAAGGTGCAGCAGAGAGGTGGTGCGGGTATGCAACAATGTATCTTCCGAAAGAGCGATGGCACTACCGTCAGGTATGTTTCCTTTTTTTCTTTTCTCTCTTCTCCTTCTTCTTTCGAGACCGACATTTCTATTTTGGGATTGCCGATCTATTGCCGTTTTGCGAATATTAGTTACGGAACTGACGCGAGGAAATGAAGACTCGAATGCCTTGATTGTAAACGAAGTGATTTCAGCTCTGCCCAGGGTTTCATCAACCATTGTCGTATCGCGCACCAGAGGGAATATGCGTCTCACGAGGCTGCGGCGCAGGCTTGCGGACAACCAGTAGAGGAGACAGAGGAGGGCTTTGCATTATATCCCAGAAATCCAGTAGATCCACCATCAAGGAATACCCGCCAGACACAACAGACCATTTCACCTCAATCATCCTACAGCTCCACACCTCGGGGAAGTCTTTCAGGCCCTTCCGGCGTCCCCCTCCCTTCTCTACCACCTCCGAAGATTGTACAAACGCCAAAAAACAAGACAACTGCAGCGCAGCGAAAGAATGGGAATCGTGGGACAAGGGCGGTTATGACCACTTCTTCAAGACCGGCGGAAGGGTTCCGGAGACCACCCACACCGCCTATAGATGCGCCAACGTTCAAGACACCACACCTAGAGGGGCTGTTAAAAAGGAAGAAAATTGAGGTCGATCTGGCGAC